GTATTGGTTTTTTAATGATTTTAGATGCTTTGCTGTAAGCTACACGTGAAACCAATCTTTATACATTATTCGCTGTTATTCCGCTTATATGTATGGTTTGAGTGATGTATTTCTATCCGATGAGGGCGAGAAGAAGAGTCTTTTGTCGGGCGTTGATCCCCACTGCTATAAGTGCTCCGTATAAGAGCCTCAGGGCTCCGCGAGCTATTCGCTCACTTGAAAAACTGACTTGGTTATTTTGTATCTGTGAAGAAGCATTAACGTCACTATCACTAATAAAATTTGACGATGGTAGTGTCGAAATGTGGTAGTGCTCAAATATAACAATATCTATAACCAAGGTCGCAGCAGCCATGGTTTTCTAGCTGGGAGGGGTTTCAGAATAGAAAATTTCCGAGCAACACTCATCGCTCAATCCATGGCCAACCCGAGAATTTGAAATGTCATGTCATATCAATTCAATTGTGTTCATTGTTGCTCGCCTTTGAGTTAACTAATATACTACGGCAACCATGAAATACTTGTTAAACCGTCTACTAGCAATATATGGACTGAAATCGTGTTTTTGAGTTGCTCTTTCAGCACTTAGGATTATCGCAATGTTTCGTTGTTAAGGGAGAGTTTGCAGTTATGAAGCCAATTATAGTTGATACCTTCATATCGAATTCGGTCTATTCATAAATGTATCAGTGATTTCTAGATGCAGTGATGGGACACATATTGGCAGACTAAGTAAAATGATCAAACTTTCATTGAAGGGTTTAGATCAGGGGTCGGCAAACTAAGGAAAAACATTATATTAACAAAACAGCTTTATTGACGAATATATTCTTTACGTGACAAAATTTGTTTTGAGAAACTAAATTATACTATAACCTAACAAGTATACAATTCACAATCACTCGTTTAATGAGCCTATAATTGATTATAATTAGAGAAATGGCAACAGATCGTAAAAAAGTTGATGCTGAGCGCAAATGGTTTGATGACGCTGGAAATATTCAAATGATCAGTCTTCGCGCACTGCTTGAAATTTCTGGGTGAAAAAATGTGATTCATTGGCCATTCCTTTGGTTTTTAACTTTCTAAAATACGTGCTACCCGCCAATGATTTGCAACGTTTAATTTTGGCCCGCAAACGACAAAAGTTTGCCGACCTCTGGTTTAGACTTTAGAGCCAGTGAAGTTATACAGTCATCCCAACTCAAATTCTCAACCCACTGCCCTATCTCCCTCCACTTTCCTATTCTCGATCCTCTGCCCTGTCTCCCCCGCCTTGGCCAACTGCTTCACCTCCCTCAACCTTCCTATCCTCGACCCACCGCCCTATCTCCCTCAACCGTCCTATCCTCGACCCGCTGTTCTATTTCCCCTCAACCTCTTTATCCTCGACTCATTGCCCTATCTCCCTCTACTTTCTTTCCTCTATCCACTGCACTATCTGCCTCAAATTTCCCACCCTTGACCCATTGTCCGACCTCCCTCAACTTACTTATCTTCGACCCACGACGCTATACCACTCAGCAACTAACCTAACGGCGCTACAATCACGACTCGATCGTCAAAATGAACTCTACCATCTTGCGACCAACTTCCATGTGTTATACTGGTCGAGTATGCCAATGAGATGATTCAATCGTACGTCGACAAAACATGATTGACGGCATTCATAAATGTAGGCTGGAATCTCAATTGGTAATCAATAACCATAATTAGGTGGCTTAAAAATGTGCTACTAATTAAGCTACTGATGGCATCGGGTTTGAGGTGACTGTTTTTAAAATTTTGAAAGGCCATTCGATATCGACATACCTGAGTTCATTTTCAGAAACTCATTCAAGTCGCCTGTATTTCCGTGTAAGGCAAAACGATGAGGAAATAATCAAATATTTGCACGCTTAGTCATTTTCAACGAATGTTCTGCCATATTCTGTTGTATATACAAATTTCTTTTACGTGACTGAGAAGGCTGAAAAGTCAAAAACAGTCAAAAATATAAGTCGCTCAGTGAGTGTAATCCCTTCCAAACTATTTTTAAGCCATGAAATGTTTTGTTGTAGCTAGCGTTGCCAACTGCCCTTTAATTCAGCGTATAGTCCCAAAATTGAGCTTATCTTATCTGCAACTTAATTAAGTTGCAAAGGACGCAGTTAGTACGTAATCTTTGGCATCGCTTTTACTATAAAATGTTGAAGAAAAATACTTTATACGGACCAGAGCACTATTGTTTATTCCGGATCAGCATCATATTGCCACAAGACTCACGACATGGCCAATTTTTAAGGGCATAAAACGGCTTGTTAAAATTTAGAAAACTGTTATTCCCAACAAAAAACAATCAGTAGCCCAATTAGTAAAACATTTTTAAACTGCCAATTAAGGTAATTGTTTACTATTTGAGATTCCAGCCAACATATACGAATGCTGTCAATCATGTTTTGTCGACGTACGATTGAATCATCTCATTGGCATACACGACCAGAATAACCGTAAAGGTATAACCCATGAAAGTTGGTCGCAAGATAGTAAAGTTCAGTGTGGCGATCGGGTCGTGAATAAAGCGCCGTTAGGTCAGGTACCGAATAGTATAGCACCGTAGGTCAAAGATAGGTAGGTTGAGGGAGATAGGGCAGTAGGTCGAGGATGCGAAAGTTGGGGAGATAGAGCGGTGGGTTGAGAATAGGGAGATAGCGTAGTGGGTAGAAGAAAGAATGTTGAGGGAGATAGGGCAGTGGGTCGAGGATAGGAAAGCTGAGGGAGGTCGGGCAGTGGGACGAGTATAGGTAAGTAGATGGAGATAGGGCAGTGGGTCGAGGAAAGTTTCAAGAAATACAGCGAATAATGTATAAAGATTGGTTTCACGTGTAGCTTACAGCAAAGCATCTAAAATTCATTAAAAAACCAATACATTCTCTCCCGCCTATCAGCGTTTTCATACATAAAATACAATTACAGATCAAGGCTAGAGGTAGAAAAATATCAGCTTGTAGTTTGCATTAGTCATAATAAACGCTATTATTCACAATTTTATGTGATAGGTTTCATATAATTTTGTGCAAGAAAAATGCTAGTGTCGACAATAGTCTTAAAATCGATAACTAATTACATGTTTACCAAATGCTTGGGTCGCGAGAAGTTAGAAGTTTTTTTAGGGGGTCGCGCTAAAAAGTAGTTGCAGACCCCTGCTCTATGGGAAGAAATGGGGGTCAAAGGTCGGGAAAGGTCCATTGCTTTCTAATCCGCCAGAACGCGTCGCAAGAGAGTCATTTCGTTAGTGAAATTTATCTACCATCGCTACGTCTACCCATGACTTCTCGAAGTAACCCAATGTAGCATAGTTGCGCTTATAACTGTTAGAGTAAGATGGTTAAATTACTATGTTTTTTATACTTTTATCATTGATTAATACTAATACATATTGTGGAAGCATAAGAAATAGTGGGGAACCATAAATAAGTCGCCAAGTGCAATGAGAGTTAAATTAAGTCTGAATGCCTGGCAGTCTGGAGTTCTTCAGTTGTAGCCTAAATTAAGCCGAAATAAGTTTTTTACCATATTTGATTGCCCCGATACCGTATTGTAAAATCTTGTGGTTCGGAATTTTTGTTGATGTTTTGATCTTTAACATCTAGGCCTATACGGTAAGGTGTAGTATTTGTGAGTCTCCTTTCTGCATTAGAAAAAGTACCTGTATCTTCATTCTAGAATGTAAATAGCCTTGTGCAAACTGGAAAGGATAAAAGCACAGTGCAGCAGTGGCCAAGCATCTCTAAGTGCTTAGATTCCTGGATTCAGTTTTATTTTCAGTCTTTTTCAATACTTATCTGAAACAAGTACAGTACCGTGACTTGTTGCGTTGCATAGTTCAGTAGTCAGATAGTCTAATTCTGTATTTGAAAAAAATTAGGCAAGGCGGTGTGGCGCATCATGCTAAGCGTTAAAAATACGCCAGTCTGGATTTCATGGCTTTTTTCAACGAGAAATTGGACGTGCAATCAGAAATTCCCACGTGCAAATCAGAATTCCCTGCGTGCAATTACTGGTATAGCTCACGGCGTGCAACAGACTTTGACTTCAAATGCTTTTCAATAAATGCGTGTAAAATTACCGGTATTGGATAAAAAAAAATATGTTAAATCAGAGCAATAATGGACGTTTGACCTTTGACCCCCTGGCATTATTTTTATACTTTGTCATTAATTTTGAGAGTGTTTTTGTGTAAAATTATTATATAAAAAATACGTCGAATAAGAGCCGTAACTGACCAGCGTCGGCGAGGAGTCTGGTGATCTATTTACCCAGGACTTTTCTCACAGGATACTTATCATTCAACTAGATGCGCCATAGCAATTATGAAACATGGTCTTTTTTACTTCGCATTTATCGATCAGGCCAAATCTTGCAAGCTAGTATGTAGTCGACAATTGTAGAGCTACAATTTGTTGGCATCTTTAGATTACTGGATTATTGATTTAAAAACCTTTCAAAGCGATTTTCATTGATGAGCAATTGCAAATTTTCGGCGTGCACCTGCCATGGAATCCAGTCTGGGGAATACGCTCGCCACCGCATCTCTGCAGGGTGGTTCACGTAACCGCTGGTCGGTTACGGCTTCCTCCACCATCAAGTCCATGCTTCCAAAAACAAATAACTGGCTGACTAATCTCATACCCGACCTGGGCTGGTAACCGGACGAGAGGCCGTGGTTTGCCATATGATTAAGCCGTCTTATCGGCTTTCCTTTCCCCCAGGATAAATATGTAAATCCTATCTTAGTTGTCTCATAAAATAAGTTCGCAAATCATTATGGTGGAGTAAGACTTTCTACATTCCGAGCTCAACTAGCTATGAAATCTCCGCTTAGTTTTATTTATTTTTTGATTAGATTTATAGTCAAAGTGTGTTTACTCTGAACTTGGTAATCTGCTTTTTGGATATGATAGTAAGGTATTTTAAATGAATAAATAGAAAGTTAAATGAAATGAATTCTTTGTACTAGATTATGAATGTCAAACCAGTGTTACCTCATTTGGAGAAATGTGTATTTTTGATAAATGTTAAGGACAAGTAGGCTACACCAGCAACTGTTTGGATTTGTTCGTGTCGCATTAACTGTTTGTGAATCTAACTGATTTGACTAATTTTGCTTAGAGATTGGAGAGTGTTTGGAGTTGACTGTTTTTGTTTGGAGTGGAGGTACATTTCGACGTTTTAAGGGCAGGAAGATTATTTCCCTTGATCAACACAAACAGTCCCCAATCTCGTAATAGAACTAAAATGAGGAAATTCAGAATAAAATTATGGCCTAACCCTAACTTGGTACACATACTACGGGAGTACCAAATTTGGGAGTACGCAAGCAAATCTATAAATTGTCCAAAGGGTTGTTGTACTGACAAACAGAAAGTTTAAGAAACCCTGTCTAGGTGAACTACAATGCATTTATTGGAACTGAAGCATTCAAATTAGTCAAAAAGATTTTTCAATGCGAATTGCGATGTTTCAAAGTCTCTGACCATCACAAGGAAAAGCATATAAATAGCTAATCAGTGGAATATTCACTCATAGATAACGCTGCAGAAAGCAGTTATCTCTGTTCTTTGTTAGCTGTTTAGTCTTGCTTATATTTATAACAATGGATTTTGTCAGTTTCAAAAATTATTGAACATAAATTTTCAAAAACTCATTTTTAAGGAGAGCCTTAATATACACTCTAAATTGTAGTAAGCCATTTTTATTGTTACTTTTTTACTTATTATATTAAATTAAGTAGACTGAGTCATAAGACTGCTATAAAATGATATAAGGCATTTCCTGAAATTGTATGTTTATTTATGGTTTTGTCACTTGTATATGTTGTCAGTGTATTTATTTTGAATGACATCTTATTATATATGATTTAAAGTCTTTATATATACTGTATTTTTCTGTTCTTTGTGTTTTCATTTACTTCTACACAAAGACAGTTACCAATGATGTACCGTAGTTAGTTTCCTGATCTGGTAAATATCACACAATGCCGGTAAGAATCAAGTTACGGTAATAATTTCTATGAAAAATGAACTTTTTATTTTACATATGCATTATTTATTAATATTAAATGTATATGCAAATGTTCAATTTACGTAGGGTGAAGATAACTCCCTTTTTGCACCTCGAGGTTTGGTTCAGAATTGCATCATTTTTTGGAAATTATCAAGTTTTTCAATCATTTCATTTCATTTGAAAGAATATTATCTTCCTGCAAAATGAAATTTGGAAAAATAAAAAATTGAATTGAATAAAATAATAACCGTGTGGAAAATAAAATAAGGTGCAGCAATGTTTTGTATTGTTTCAACTGTGAAATTATGAGAGAAAGATGGAAAAAAGTGTCCATATGAAAGTGCATTCCAATTTCCTATTCTTACGCTAATTGCCAATAATGATGTTGTCAGCATGCTTTAACATAAATTGATTTTCTGCTTCAATTAATGAAGCACATAACATATGCTGTATGTCACCCACAGAGCTTAGTTGTATTACTGTTTATATCCTGTTCATTGTTATGCTGGTCATGTACATTAGAACAGACTATATGCAATAGCGCGGAAATGAATTAGTAAATTCTGCTGCATACTGAATTTTGAAATATGTGACATGAAATGCTGCCAATTTTAATTCTAATTTACAACCCCAGCTTTTAGATTAATCAAAATTTATTTTAAAATTATCCTTATCGTAGCAGTGTATTTGAGCAATGATAGCAAAATAGGCTGCCATATGTAAGGTGTGCCATATTATTGCCATGTTGGTTGAATCAACACAATGAAAATTACATGCTGTTGTTTTACGTGCATTGTTGGACAAAATGACAATGAGAATAATAAAGAAGAAACAAGTCAGTTGCTTCAAGGAGATAATGAGAGTGAAGAGCATTCTACTCCTCGAGATAAACAGCCTTATTCCAGGTATGTGTATAACTTATTGCATCATCAAAGAATTGTGTATCTAGATTTTATATTGAGAGGTTAACATTCAAAACTGAATGCCATAAATTAAATGTACTTGCAAAATCCTAATACATTGGTACGCAGTCACTCAGGGGTCCGTGTTGCACTCACGCACGAGATGGCTTTCAATAGGGAAAGTTCTGGAAAATTTGTTTTAGTACATATAGGTATATATATTTAATAAATATACACAATGTTCTGTGAGAATTTAAACGTGGAGTGCACGAAAAATTCTGATGCTTGTTTTCTGTTGTGCCTAATATCTTATGTTTTCGGTGAATTATTAAAGTATTGTGTTTACCTCAACTTATATTTCTTGTAGTCTGTAGCATGTGTTAATGATGACTTTTATTTGAATACAAATTCATTTTGAACCTTTTTGGAAAAATATTCAATTTTCAGATCTGCATCAGGTATAAGCAGTGCATCTACTTTAAGAGGATTCTCGACTGAAAGTGGGGACCCCACGTCTGAGTCATTTGATGGAAATGCTCCCCCATCAGGAGCAAAGTTCTCTAAAGCAGTTGGTGTTCTTAAAAAATACAATGTTATGTCATCAAGATATAACTCAAAAGAATTGCAGAGACAATTATCAACTCCAACCAAACTTAGCCTAAAAATTGGCATTAAGATAATGCCACGTAGTTCTACAGTTAAGATTTCTGTTATTGAGGCACATGGTGTCACAGAAGCTTTACAAGCTAAAGGTTTGCCAGAAATCACAAGTTCAGATGAACAAGAACCGTCTACCATTGTACAAATCAGAACAAAATTAATGCATAATGAAGTAAGAGGTCATACTAAAAAATATGAAATTCAAGGTGGGATCACCGGAGCTTTGAAATTAAGAAATGAAACCATACACACAGTCGATCTAGAAGAATTCTTGCACTGTAAACTGCGCTTCAGACTTTATTTTGTGTTGAAACATCAACGTGATAAATTATTGGGAGAATATACTCTTGATGTTGAGAGTTTAAATCTTGACACTAATAATGCCATTACACATACTATGCTCGAATTGTATGATCCAGCATTATTGGAGTCTAATATTGTCTCTCCAACGCCACAAGTCACACCTGTTCCACCAAGATTTTCTAGTTCAGACAGCCAACCAAGTATGGATAAAGACTCACTCCCTCCCATTCCCAAAATACAAAGGCAAGCAAAAATACGCAGTCAAGACTCAGACTTACGAGTGAGCATAAAACGTGATCAAGACAGAGCAAGTTCAGATGATTCCCATTCAAATGAAAAATCAGCGGAAAGCACAACACCCACAAAGAAACCTCTTACAAAAGCATTGAAATCAATTCGTCACGGTGCTTCTTTAATGCTAACTAGAGAACCCAGTAAAGACAAGGACCGGTCATTAGATGCTGAACATCCATCTCCATCTACTGAACCACTAACAGCGAATGAAAGACTCAAAATGGTTCTTAAAGAGCGAGGAGAAAAAGTAGGAGAATTAGAGGATGCCACTGCTGCTATGGCAGAATCTGCTGGTAATTTTAGTGCGCTCAGTGTGAAACTGAAAGAAAAGTACAAGGCTGAAAGTAAAAAAAAGAAATCGTCGGAATCATAATTTTATGGCGAAATTTCAAAGTATTTCAGAGTTCACCTTGAAACACTCCACCAAGGTACTTGACTTTGCCTTTTTAACAATAATATCAGTAAAGGCTTAGCTGGATTATGATATATGTAAGGTTTAATATTGTGCTAGATGTGGCCTTGTTATTTAGTCCTAATGACAAGCAGAGTATGTATGATTGAACGGAAGTTTCCATTTGTCTGGAAGTCGGAGACATTTCATTCTTGCTGATTGAGTTAAGTTCTATATTATATAAAATTGGTAAATTTATCAATACAGCACCTGTGCAAAACAGTGACAGGTGTGTGTATCCTTCCTGGCTGAGCTTGATTGGTATTGATATCAATATTTGGAGGCGTGCTGGCTTTCCAGGAGGTTTGTGAGAAAATATTTATACAAAATAAACCAATTTAATTTGTTGGTGACTGCGCAATTTCTTGCCTGTTTTACTAAGCTGACATAAGATTATTAGCTTATGTACATATGGTAACTATATTGTCATAAGATGCAATCAAATCGACCATTTGAAGTTTTATTAACATTTTTTATAACTGCCACTCTGCCAGTATGAAATGAACTAAATATTACCACTCTCTTGCCAATATATAAGGTTGCAATGATTGACATGAAAATTGCAAATGAATTTTAAACTAATGAGATTTTACCCTAGTTTTTTAGTTTCGCTTTTTAAATAAACTATAAATTTACTTTAAGTAATTGAAGCTACGCTTTGCTATGCAGTAGTCCAATATCAATTTATGAGATTGGGATTTATTGAAACAATGTTTTAAGACTGTATGATGACGTTTGTTGAAACTTGATTATAAGCAGAGGATAGGATACTGTTGTTGTTGTTGTTTTTTTCAAATTGTATTTATTAAGGCATTTTTATTTATGTTCAACTTGATAATTCTTTAGTTTTTGTGTTTAGAAATCTGCTGTGTGAAACTCTGAAATGATAACCAGTTTTGCTGGCACATATGGCTATAAAGGTTCCCAAACTCAGGAAGTTTAGTCACACATTACTCATTTACTAAGTAAGCGATCTCATAGTACTATAATAGCAAACCTATTTCCCCTTTTATATACTGTGTTTTTCTTTTGACAATATATTGACAATCTGTCATTCACTTTGTCCAATTGTTATTGAATATGCTAAGCAGAGCATTTGTGACATGAAAAGCACAAATTTATCAAATGAATCTCATGAATGAAGTCAATTATTTTAATATTGATGTCAATGTTGTGAGACCAATAGGATAACCATCTTGGATTATTTTGGTATACATGACATTGAAAGCTTTTTTGGATTCACTTCCTGGGTTTACATATTTCATTACATGACTTGGTATGTTTATTAAAAATTTTACAGAAAATCGAAATAAGAATAAAAGTGTATATAACCTAATTAAACCCTATAAACTATGTTCTTCTGTTCAATACTATTGCTCTATTCTATATACTGACAAAGCACCATGTGTGATTCTAAATATTGTTGCCCTAGTAAAATATTTCGCAGTTTGAACAGTAATTTACCAGTCTAGTTTTTATTTGTTTCACAGTTTGATCAAAGCAGAGATTCTTAATAATTTATTCCTTGGACTGACAGCTTTTCTTTCTGTGGGTTAGCGTGAAATAAGTATTGTATATTGCATTTTTTGTCACTATCAGGTTTATCTGATAAATATTTAATTGTTTGTTTTCACTGTATGAAATAATCTGGAGTAAAAACATTATTTTTGACCCAGTTTTGCTGGGACATTTTGCGTTATACAGGGAAGCCATCATTAATATCCATTGCTTTAAAATATTTTATATTCATCCAAAATGTTTGCTTTTTGAAACTTTTTCAAATGATAAAAAGGGTGTTTGCTCATGTTTTGTGATCAATCACATGATAGCATTTTTTTTATCAGCTATGTACATGGTATGGCCAAATGATAAATGTCCGACATAACATAATTAAATCTGTCTTTGAAATTTTTAGGTTACTGCTATGAAATTTTTTATAAACATTCTTATTCAAAGTATTTGAAGATATTGTATTTGCAAAAAGTGAATCTGAATTCTAGATCTTTTCTGATAATAATTGATATTTCAATAAATTCAGCTGAAATCCTATTTGCCGCCAATGGGATTATGAGCTTACTGTAAAATATTCCGGGCTATTATATACCTATTCAATATTTTGTTAAATAAATTAAGGCGGGTATATTATGTATGCACGGCAGTTGGCAGATATGACATAAATTGGCGATGTATTTTAAGTACATTCAAATCGATTTCAATTGGCCTTATTGTATAATAATTCAGGATATTCAACGCAAAGCATTGTTGTTTGTTTTATACTAAATTGTGTATTGTACGACAAACGCTTTGTACTATTTTCGGGCATATGTTAAAACGGACGCTTATGAACGCTCTGTTATGTTGCACTGGAATAGCTTTTTGCCTGCTTCCGTTTGCCGTTTACAGTACGCTTTGATTGTACCCTCTTAATGCATTCTTGGAGAAAGAGCTCCAACCGCAAATTATGGAACAACCATTATGAGGTACCACACCAAGTATGGGTCCATAAATTATATGCCAATGCGCCATACTTGTGCTATACGTTAATATACGAGTATTATTCGTTACATTGTGCCGCGTTTATGTCACTTAGTAATGTTAATATGAGGAAGGCGTATTGTAAATACGACAAACTATTCGACCTTCTATTATTCTTCGCCTGCGAAATTCAAATGTTATTGAAATTTCAAATAATAGGAAACCGTGCAAAATTGAAAAAAGTTATTGTGCTTTCATTTGCTTGTTCTCATTAAATAAAACATGTATTACAGAATATCGTAGCTTCTGCGTCCTTAGCATGTAATAAGCTCATTGCCAACCCAATCAACTATCGACTGCCTATTTATGATTGTATTCCACTTCGACGTTAAAATTCAATTAAAAGGGCGCACGCGCTCCTCAGGCTTCGATTTATTGAATTCACTAAAATCTATTCCGGGATTAAGAAATTATCCATATCCCTAATCACGTTGTTTGTTCTTGTTTATTAGCCATCTTCCAATCGATTCTCGATTCCTCTTTCGCTGTTTGCATACGCTAAACATGCCAATAGAGTAGGAAATAAATGGATTTGATTAGGGTGCTGAAAAAAACCTATAGAGAGTTAACGCGAAATTTGGCAATGCATCGCAAACCTTGAGACTCTTCTTATTCAATTTTCGACAATCGAATATATAATAATAAATAAAATATGATATGCAACTTTTATTATATCCAAGCCCAACCGATTTAATATGATATCAGTTACTACGTTTAACACGTGTATCGAAATTAATATTACAACATTGAAATGAACTAAACTGAATTATACAGTTTCAAGAGTTTTAACGAAGATTCCAGAAAGGGAGAACTTTAACTAAAAATGATTCACGTTTGACTATGGTAATTAATCCAAGGGACATGGGATTCCCCCTTTTTATTGCAGTAGAATGCTTCAAAAATTTGACTTACCTCCTATTATATTGAAGTTCTCCCTGGTCATAATTTTTGATGTTATGACAACTGATCGTATCATATTATAGCTATCAGAAAATAATCAAATCAATATACCTAATACTTTCTTTGGGTAGTGGTTATGTGCAATGTTATCTAACGCAATAATAAGTCAATGTATTTTTTATTACCTTTCGTGCAAATATCTGTTCCTGTGTGAAATAAACATATTTTATTGCTACTATAACGATTAATCAACCAGATCGTTCACGATCGCATAAAAATATAATTTTGAAATGCGGATTTTTTTTGGAATAAATATTGCATTTGGCATGTAGAAATCGATCATTCTTTATTAACGTTTCTATGACCATGCGACTATTGAATAAATCAAAAGCTGATTGAGTTTTATATTGAGTTATTATATATAATTACTAACGTCAAATTTTATGGGAGATGTCATTACAAATTAGATTCCGCTAAATATGCCACCTGCCTATGAGCCTCAAGGTATTCAAACAGCTGGTCCAGCTTACTATTTTTCAATGTCTACTTTGTACTAGAATTGTATATTATATTAAACAATATACAGCTCAAGCATCTTGCATTTATATTCAATATCTCTTCAAATTGCGAATATTTTCTTCAAAAACATTGTATATTATTATTATATTTTTTGAATGTGCAAGTTTATTGAACAGAAAATGAAGATTTGAACAATAAAAATATTTCCTAACACACCTTTGTTCGTTGACGAGTTTTTGACCTTAGCAAGTGCCTAGATAGGTTATTGGGCAAAATTCCATGTGAAGTGTGTAATTATTTCGAATATATTTCAGGCTGACACAGATGCTGTTCAGATGTATCGGCAAAAATATTAAAATTGCATTGTTACTAGGTTAGGTAAATTATGTATTACTCAGAGCAATTTTTGTGAAGATTTGAAAAGCTCCTTCGCCATTGAAAATGGTTCTTTTACCTCTGATATGCCGGTCGCAGATGTTATCAGCAATTTGTGTCTCACAGGAGTCACAGTTTAACCTAGTACAAGATTGATTTTCTAAGATCGTGACGATGTCGCCGCATTGGCTGTGTCATCCTGAGATCATAAATATTGCAAGGAGATTGATGAACTTTGGTTGTTTGTCTCAAAGAGCTTATTTTTGCTTCAATATCTTATCTTTAGCAAGGGAAATCGTCATTATTGTGCCAAATTGAATTTTTGGGATAATATTCCAGTGATTAAATTTGCTCAAATGTCATCCGCACTCACTCAGAAACATAGAAAGTGATCTACGAACGTAAACTGAGATGCGAAGAGATACTGACACTACCAAGAATTATAGCATTAAATAAGTGTTATTAAATACCAATTGACCCAACAAATAAATCTTAGATCAATATGATGATAAACGAAAAAGCTGCGAGTTTACTGGCATTCAAGTATTACGACTGAATTTTTTTTTGTGTAGACAAGTTCAGACTTAATAAATATTCATTAAGTCCAATCCTAAGAAATAGTACAAAATGTCGACGATTCGTCTAGGATTTCTAGTGACATCGAAATTGGAACTGCATCAAAATTATGTTTTTTTACGTATTCTGGATTAGTTTCAATCGAAAACGTTATATATATCCTTTTGAATTCGATTGCGATATTTTTTTGGTTAAGGTCACATTCGTAAATTCGAATTGAGTTCATACCCATAAGCTCTGATTGAACTGTCTCTCCTTGCGGAGGAAAAGCACATTGGCCGAAACCTCTTTTTAGAGCCAATGCATGCCTGTTCATGAATAATGAATTATTTTGGAATGAGTAGAGTTAACCATAAAAGTGCACGTTAATATTACGACCGTCAAATCACTATTGCCGAGATCTTTATCGATATTATCCATGGAGATTATTCCCTACGGATTCGTTGTCTTCGTGGTGACGAGCGCATGCTTGAGATCACTGGACTGATTATTCACGAAACGCATACAGCGATGTACATTTGGGAGGCTTATATTCCAATGAATTATTCAAGCTTATTGAAAGAGAGTCGGAAAAATTTTCAACTTTCCTCTTCAGCGACCGCTTTTCCCATTTAGAACGCATTAACGCCGATGTGAAAATAGAAACGCCAATTGGGATGTTTCACCATAAACGGCGACATCCGCTTGTCTGCGACAAGACAAGTTTTGTCCACAAAGTTTTCCACGTAACCACCTGCCTCATGGTAAGTTCACCCAACAAACTGGAAACCCGAATTTATCGTTTCGCAGAAAGGTTTATATATCATACACGTGGTTATATATATATCAATATGCTCATGCTATGAGACTGAACATGGTATTGTTTTCAATAAGAGAATAAAGCTAATTGAATAAATTCTTAGCAATATACGAATTTGTGATTGCTGCATCGCTCAGCGTCTTTTTTATTTTATCCGTTATTTTGGTATCAAATTTCATATCGTTTTCCGCCAGATCAAATTGCATTTTTCATTCGCGTTTAACAACGTAAAATAGATTTACCAAGCATGGGGGGAAACTACATTAGTATAATCGCTTTTCTCTCTCGAATAATCACCCATTGTACGCTCGTTTCGCTTGCAAATAAAATTACTTACTGATGTAATATTTTCGCAATGCCGATCTGATAGAAATACACGAATTGCTCCTGCGTGTATTCCGATGAGTTCAATGACCTATTTTCAGACACCGATTTATAGAAGCAGTAGTTAATGGAAAGGGTTGGTGCAATTCTCGGTTAAATAGGTAATCCCAAATCCTTTCAATGGTAACATTAATTTGATGAAATATGCTGTTTAATTCAAGAGTCTCGTTGAACACTAACACAAATGCATTTCTGTAACGTTTCGTCTGACCGAGGTCAAACTTCTTCAGACTAGCATTATTGGACACGAAATGGACCTATGGATCGATTTTTATGGCGTTGTTCAGGCATTCATTACTTATCGATTTTAATCGGTAAGTATGTTGATAGGTATTTGTCTGTCTGTATGTCTGTTAGATGCACGCGATATCTCACGAAAGCGAGATTGAATCTGCTCCAGATTTTGCATGTGCATTCATCTTATCTCGGCCTATTGATTTTGGGCGAATTATGTCGTATAATTAGCGAATTAATTAATTAGTGATGGGACACGTGGTGTTACTATGGAGTAAAAGCGCTGTTTTGGGGGATCCCCTAATTTTCGATCGATAAGTCTTCGGTCTCTGACCGATAATCTCGTTTATTGTATGTCATTGGTACATGAGATGATCACAATTGCTTGGCTTCCACCAGGACATCTATTATGGGTTCTGTTTGGGACAGTGCAATGTCTCATATCAGGTAGGGTAGCATTTCCATTATGTTTTGTAATTTTGTTTTAGTAGCGAATCAAAGACAGGCATACCGGAAACAAATATCGAAGAGCTTTTCATTCACCTCCTGTTTTACTTCTTGCAGAAAATTGAAATTATCTCGAGTATATACTAAAACTTTCCCCTTTGAAAATCATCTCGCGTGTGAATGCAACAAGATAGTTTCGAATTCGCGTAAATGTCTAAAATCCACAAAGCATGGTGGATTTTTGAAAATTTACGATCAGGAGGCGCACATGCCTTCCATAAACAATGGCCGACATTTATTTGTGGTATCTGTTCTTGATACCTCACCAACGTTCATATTATATTCATAAAAGTTAATAAAATATTCAAAATGGTGTCTTATTTCCGAGAAATACCACACTAGCAGTACACACTATGCACTACCATAACATCAAAAGATTTCTCAGCAGTAGTGCTTCGGTGTCAAGGTTAAAGTTGCTTCTCGGCCCCCCTTGAATTCCTAACCCTAACCCCAGCGACCGCGAATCCCCCCATCGAGTTCGGAAATTATGTGCCGAAATGAAGAAAGTTTGTTTAATTGTGCATAATTACACTTGAAAGTTTCAGTAATCTAGGACGATTTGCACAAAAGTTATGGTATCTCTAGGATATATTCCAAATCAGCTCCTAGGTATTGGTTATTGGACTATGGCATCACAAATTGAGACAAAATATTGTAAATATTGCGAGAAGATTATAGAAACGTCACATCCCTACAGCATCGATTATGTGAAAAATATGGTTATATCATGTCGAACTGAAAATAATCGAGCCCTTATTTTAGATTGGTATGTTCCTACTTGGTTCCTACTATTCATGAGAAGGGAACTTATAAAAGGCATTTTCCATAAAAGCTACTCGTCTTGTGCTCGCGCTCTAATACTCTTTATATCAAGTATACGCGAAAAAGATTTCTTTCGTTATTGGTATATTTTATGATTCAAAAATCTTCTGTAAAATTTAGCATCTTCTGTCAGTCATGTTGTACGAAGAATAATGACTTAAATTGCGAACAAGAGAGCAATGCTAAATTATATGGCCACGGAGGCCAAAACGAAATAGCACGGGTGTTAAATCGTACGGTCTTTCAGACTTCGACTGACTACCAGAACGCAATGATCGCGAACGTGGAACTGGCACAAGGTGCGCCATTAATTTTCAATTTTGTTGACGAACAAAACGAACAATAAAACGAATCAAATAGAGCCATATAAATTTTAAAAAAAATGAAAAATGTTGCCTTCCAGCGACAACAACAATCTACAACCACTGAAAATTTGGAAGCAATTGGTCCAGCATCTGAATAGGAAAGCGATTTTTCATACCAACAAGAACAAGATGCAATTAGCAGCTTCAGCCACCTTGTCAGGTCCAAGGACTACTATACTGATAAAGGTGATGTCAGTGAGAATGTATTTTGTTACGAAGTAGGGAATAAACCTAATGAAACACATCAAATGACTTTAGAAATGTGTATGCTAAAATGTCTAAATGTAGTTGTTTCTCAGATATCATTATCAGTTCATGCTCATATGTAATTTTGCATAAATAATGCTGAACAATCCATAATATATATATATATATATATAATGACATTTGTAGATATAACAACTTAGTCTATGCCACGTCTGTCTTAAATATTACTGTTCACGGCTAACGACAAAAAATGCGAATCGGGCATTTCATGGCCAATGTACGAGCATTTCTGTTCCGAGTCACTTCATTTCAATGCGGATTAGATTATCCAGAAAAAGATTTCGCGATATCTTATTGAACAGGATATTTTTGTTTGTCGAATGTCGTGAGAAATTTACTCGCTCGCGACTCTTTGTTATCCGACCATATCGTACCTATATAGTTTTCTTAGTGACATTGTGTTGGCATAGATTTGCCCACGTCGGCTAGTCACTTGAGCGTTAAAGCCATAGCGAGAGCATTGGACAATTTTTTATAGTTGGGATTAGTTGTCAAATCGGGATTTGAGGCATAGTGAAACTGTGTTCTATTACTGAATACTATATCGAACTTCTGGGACTGAAATATAAATAGATTGGATGAGTGGAAGCAATAAACTCGCAAATATATTTTGAGGATATGAAAGGATGTCATTTGATCCACATACTAAGCAATAAAAAGACATCGATGGCAAAATTCTTTATTTGTTTCATCACTATTTGTTCATTATGTAATGTCGGACAATGTCTCAATACCGGAAATTGTGACATAAAGATCACATTCGATTCTGATGTTGACATGGATGGAGATGGTCAAAATATTCCCACAATGATAAGATCCTATCATGTAACTTCACCAATGGCGTGTATCTCAGATTGCTGCAATGATGGTGAGTTAATATAATTTCGATTCTCCCCACGATATGTAAATTTCATGATGTCTGTACATTTAGGTCTACATTCTCGATGGTGACGGATTTTACATTTGAAACTTTTGATATTAAGTTGCTAAGTGGTTATACCGCCGACTAGTGAAACTGAAAAACATTTTTGATAGCATTATAAACAAATAGAACAATATATCTTATTATCCAATATATTATTATAAAAAAAGGTTAGCTAATCAAAAGTTATAACAAACATCGGCGAAATAATATGCACATATATATATATATAATTTAGTTACAATGTGATAATGATTTTAAATTACAGACCTCCCTGTACAAATCAAATTTATTTATATATATGTGTGTGTATAACCATCAACACGTAAAACATCACGTTTCAATCGTCAACATTTCAACCCCTTACTCGGAGGTATTTTGACAGATTTTACTGCCTAGAAGTTTTACTGCGTCCATTGCTAAAAGTTATTTTAGCAGCAGGACCCTCGTCCCTATGTGTGGTGTATGGCATTTAGGGTGTGTGTTCGACTGAAAAACAAATCTGTAACAAGCGTCAGAAAATTCAAACGTTTTTTTTGCAGAATCATGTACGAATGTTGCATACTCTCTGTCTGGTGCACGAGATGAATCAGAATTAAATTGCATTCTATATGAATGCAAGGACTACGAATGCCCCACGAAATCTAGTATGGGAAGATACGTTTACGATATCAACCCGAAAGGGCAAGAGACTGAGTCAACGTCTTCAACTATTGCTGAGTCAGCATCTGCCAAAACGCCAACTGCTTTAACTCCAACGGTTGCTTCAAATAGTAACTATATGACATTCACAAAAGAAACCCTTGCGACAACAACTGTGGAGACTAAGACTACATCTAAAATTTCGTCAACCACGGGAATCATGATGCCTCTGACGTCTTCTATTACAACAGCTCCCACATACACCACCACAATCCTACGATCAACCGCTGAAATACCGACGTCTACTTTACTGGAAGGTGTCTCAGTTTCATTGAATTCTACGTTATCGGGAAGCGATATGTTATCTCGACCACAATCTCCACCTCAGACCACTTCTACTTTCATCTTACCTACCCCGACGAGTGTAGAATTGCCCTCGGTAGTTGCAAGTACCAAATTACCACACCCACTGTTGAGTGACGACTCAACATCGACAAGACAGCCCTCTTCAACAACAAAAAACGTGGTTCCCACAGTGGAGACAGGATCCCCTACCACCATTTCAACAAAGACTGCTACCACAAAAGGGAAATTTGAAACCGTTTCTATCTACGAAATAACTACAGATGCATCTGGGTTTAGTGTGGGCAACAACCAAACAACGATGTACATTTCGCCGTTTCGTCATAGCTACGGAATACTTATAACTTTTGCAGTATTTGGACTCATGATTTTACTAACAACAATTTATGTAATATCGACTAGATTGCAAGAGAGTTTGAAGAATTATCGTTACAGACATTATCGAAAGGTTGAGTATCTTATGAACGATCACCGGTGGCATGCTTGATGCGAGTACTTTTTTAGTTTTTAAGCCAGTAATACCAGGCTTGACAAAACCACTCTACTTTGTCATCCAGCAAAGTCGCAAACTCTTTCGACTTTCCGGAATCTACGAATGTTCGGCCAGCTTTCCCTTGACCCTATACGGCCAATAGTATTGGTATATCAGACTTTATTGCAAATCAGAGGCGACAGTATTACAACGCCCAATTTCACTTCGCGACCGCAACCAGACATTTTGAAGATAGATCCTCTAAAAACACGCTCGTATAAAACGAGTGCCACCTTCTCCTCAATTTTATTCGAAATATCAAGCTATCTGAAAATTCGAATTGGGCGTTCTTGGTGCAAGGTGGATAAGCCGTTTGACAGGAAAAGTTCGAAGCTTCAAATTTTCTACGCGAACACACAGATTTTAGTTTGCCCGAAAATAAGACTGGGTCTTAGCACTAGGGCTTATTTTCGAGGGATGTCTTATATTTTCATTTATCAAAAACAAAATTACAAAGAAGAGAATTACAAGATTTTCAAATATATACAAAATATGGAAATAGATATCCATTTACTTGTAAACAACAGTTTTTATTCAAAATAACTGCAAAACATAGATTATTAATCATTTAAAACGTGTAGGAGAGATTTCTTGCTATCGACTAGGTCAAAAAAAATTCTCGTTATTGACTGGGTCCTATTTTAAGGGGAGGGCTTATAATAAAATCATTTTTAAAATTCAGGCTAAGTCTTATTTTCGGGGTAACACGGTAGTGATACATTTAGACCACGTAGTGCATTCTGTAAGCTAGTCATCTTTTGTGCAATACATTATATATAAACACGCCAAATAGATTGTTAAATATTAATTATAATTGCATATACAGTATGATATACGGATAAATTAATTTATTTTACCTATTCAATGCGTGCAGAAATGACATTGAAATGACATTAAAGATAAGATTCAGGGAGATTTGTACTTGTATGCGCCGTCAGCCTACTATTCAGTGATGAAGACCTCTGCAATAAAGTTCACAGGCATTGAATGATTTGCACCTGGGCTATGAGGTTGCAATTTTCTTTTTAGTATTACAACAGGAAGAGTATTTTGAAATCCCTGGGCCGGGGCGCTTCCAATATTTTTTCGCTTCTAAAATTCAACCATTGTGGAGATATAGTTTTAGACCAGTGGTTTCCAACCTGGGGGTCGCGAAGGTCTTGCAAGCAAGTGGCGCGAGATGTTTATGCATGTTACCATTGTGACGGCACACGAAATCGTCTGCATTTCCGCGCACCGCACTACGGTAAAAACGCGAACTTCGAATCGAAGCAATGCTGTGGAACGCCTGGATTTCGATACCATGGGGTTTACTGCAAGATAGGCTTGTAGTCTGTTGTTTCATCATGAAGATTATCATACATCCTGCACAGTGGCGTGCCTAGAGGGGGGCGAAGGGGGCAGTCGCCCCGGCAGCACTTTATAGAGGGCAGCAAAACGGAGCTTTAGTTTGCGTGTACACATGTTTTTCTCGACCGGTTTTTTATTATTTCACTAGAAGCTGACATTAGGCGTTTAGACTTTTGTGACTAACTGTGGTGATGGTGAGTCAACAATTGACGTTTACCCGACTGTTGAACCCAGAAAAACTCTTCCTGTATTTAGGCTCACCATACGTAGACAGAATAATCATTGAATTATTTGATTCGTACTGTAATTTCCGAAACACAAGCAAAAAGCAATAACTAATAAAAACCATGCAAAAAGATAATGTTTACAATCATGCGATAAAATCTGTCTGTGTGACTGCTAAAATATCTACCGATGCGTCGCTTTTCCGACTTGGAAACGGAGATTTTCCAAAAAATGTTGAAGATTTTATTGCTTCGTTTATTGGGCTCGGCTGGAATGTTTTTCATACTTTGTGCATTGCATATTCTTTATTACTCATAATTGGCTACTCAATTGCTAATTGCGAACGAACTTTCTCAAAGTGAAACAGATAAAAACATATTTAATGTTTTCGATGTCAAATCTGGGCCTGTTAAGTTTATCTTTGATCAGCATCGAAAAGAAATTTCTGACTAACGAGGTGTAAGAGCCTGTTGTTCATACATTTGTTGCCAGCAAAGTAGCGATTGAACCTGATTTTGGCTAATAAATGTAAAATCGCTTCTAAAATTCAACCATTGTGGAGATATAGTTTTAGACCAGTGGTTTCCAACCTGGGGGTCGCGAAGGTCTTGCAAGCAAGTGGCGCGAGATGTTTATGCATGTTACCATTGTGACGGCACACGAAATCGTCTGCATTTCCGCGCACCGCACTACGGTAAAAACGCGAACTTCGAATCGAAGCAATGCTGTGGAACGCCTGGATTTCGATACCATGGGGTTTACTGCAGGATAGGCTTGTAATCTGTTGTTTCATCATGAAGATTATCATACATCCTGCACAGTGGCGTGCCTAGAGGGGGGCGAAGGGGGCAGTCGCCCCGGCAGCACTTTATAGAGGGCAGCAAAACGGAGCTTTAGTTTGAGTGTACACATGTTTTTCTCGACGTGTTTTTATTTAACTAGAAGCTGACATTAGGCGTTTAGACTTTTGTGACTAACTGTGGTGATGGTGAGTCAACAATTGACGTTTACCCGACTGTTGAACCCAGAAAAACTCTTCCTGTATTTAGGCTCACCATACGTAGACAGAATAATCATTGAATTATTTGATTCGTACTGTAATTTCCGAAACACAAGCAAAAAGCAATAACTAATAAAAACCATGCAAAAAGATAATGTTTACAATCATGCGATAAACTCTGTCTGTGTGGCTGCTAAAATATCTACCGATGCGTCGCTTTTCCGACTTGGAAACGGAGATTTTCCAAAAAATGTTGAAGATTTTATTGCTCCGTTTATTGGGCTCGGCTGGAATGTTTTTCATACTTTGTGCATTGCATATTCTTTATTACTCATAATTGGCTACTCAATTGCTAATTGCGAACGAACTTTCTCAAAGTGAAACAGATAAAAACATATTTAATGTTTTCGATGTCAAATCTGGGCCTGTTAAGTTTATCTTTGATCAGCATCGAAAAGAAATTTCTGACTAACGAGGTGTAAGAGCCTGTTGTTCATACATTTGTTGCCAGCAAAGTAGCGATTGAACATGATTTTGGCTAATAAATGTATTCGATCTTGTAAATATGAGTATGTTGCTTAGGTTGACGATTTATTTTTTAATAAAACAAACGTTTTCATCTTACTTGGCCTTTAGTTTATTTATTCCCATTCATAACAACATCTATAATTTGTTATTTTCACGAATTATTTTTTTTGAAGTTAGTTATATGGGGCAGCATTATCAAAACTCGCCCCGGGCAGCAGGAGAGTTTGGCACGCCCCCGATCCTGCAGTAACGTTATAATTTCGTTATTGGACACGTGAGTGGACCTATGGATCGTTTTGATATTATGTTGTTGTTCTCATTGACATTCTTCGTCTCGGCAAAATCGCTTTTCTTTTCGAATACTGGATCAATTGCTTTGAAATTTTTAGTGGTTAAAGATTGATTTTTTTCCTAAATTTTTTATGAATCCTATGAGATCTAATATTTCTTCCAAAATTACGATGTATTACATTTTAAATATGGGAACACGGTTTTTAATCAGCCAAGCGTGACGGCTGACTGTGAACTCGGAAGTTTTTGAGGGTACAGTACACCTCAATGGTACAGTAACGGTAACGTCAAATGTTTAAAAGTTTATTTCGACTCCATAATCAGCAATTACGATAAAAAAATAGATAAAAGTAAAAGTAACTGATTATAGAATCGGGAAAGCGAACAAAGGACTGCTTCGCTCTGGTCTACGTGTCCATATATTTGAGCGTTGCACTCTTGTTTTTTTTACCATGCCGAAAAAGCGAACTGCTTTTCGTCCGGAATGAGGCGCTCCCGAAATAAGTGCAACAAGAAGGCTCACAACCAGAACCCTAACCTGGTACACATACTATGTTCAGGTTGTGCGCCTAGATTCTGAAGGTTAAATATATTTCAAATCTCGGACTAATCGTCAGCAGCAGTGTGCGTATCCTTACCAGAACTGATAAATTGTATGTGAAAACAGATTATAAAACTCGAATGTGATTTCTTACATTAAGTTGGATATATACCGAGAGAAAAAATATTTAATGACGGCAGGCAATTGGTCTGGTAATTACTGGAAAATATTAGATGTAAAATTATTCATTTTGACCGGAGCGAACAATATTGTACCATACGGCAGGTCTACTCAACTATTTTTCCGAAGGTCCGCAAACAAAACTTTAAATTATTTGGGTCTTGTCTTCCCAAAAATTATATTTCGGCATCCTTAAACGCGCACTTCATCGGCAGACTAATGATTACTAGCAAATAAGATTGTTTATTATGGTGTTATAGTTCTTTTCACCTATATTCAAAACTATGAAAGTCATTTTATAATAGGAAATGCCCAAAAAGTGGGGCTAATGATTCAAAATAAATAATTAGGTACGGTCCAAATCCAATACTCGAAAGGTCCGGATTCGGACCGCGTTCCGCCAGTTGAGTAGCCCTGCCATATGGGCTATAATTTCTTAATTTGGATGTTGGCATATGCTTGGCTGATTGGAGAATTAGAGCTTATGATTTACCCAAGAAATAGTGAAACTCGTACAAAATTTGATTAAAATATCCTTTGCTATTGATTTGAAAAAAATTGGAATGACAGTATAACATTTGAAATTTTGAAGAACAAAAAGTATGCACAATTGCACATTGACATTTATAAATTTTTTCATTATAATACATAGTGATTGGAAAGGTGATATGAAAACAGTAGTATATTAAATTAATAAAATCATAATTTTGACATTGTAAAAGATGAAGGATCCACATGCAGAAAATTCTTTTCTCTTGCGACTCGACAGTGGCTGAGATCAGCAGCAACAATATCTTGACCGTGAGGTAATGAAGACAGCCAACTATCTACAGACGATTTTTCATCTTTTGACAGCGACTGATAAGTATCTGTAACTTGTTGCCACATCCATATGTTAAACGGATTTATCTGTAAGATATAGATCAATGTGAACTTTAAAAACAAAAAATATGCATGTAGGCCATAAAATGCAGCGATATTGTCTGGTGGTGGAGTTAAAGATGGAATGACTTTTGCTGAAATGCATACCATACCATAGGTAGTATAACTTTATTTTGACTCCATAATCAGCATAACAGAAGATAAAATAAATGATAAAAAAAAACTGATTACAGAAGGTTGAAGGTAGAAACTTCATTAAATAAATTCTAGGCTATTACAACCCCACATAATTGAATATAGATTTTGAAATTAAAAAAAACAATTAGTGTTCATTATATTACACATCCACATACTTGTATGAATGTAAAGCAGCGATGAGGATATTTGTACAAATGAAGTTCTGTAGTGACATACATGAAAGATACTACCTATTTGTATAAGCCAGTGCTAAACACAAAACTTGAATACATACCGATCTACTTTCGGTGACATCACCAATTGTATACTGATGAGTTCCTATGAGTCTAGGGAGCTTCCGATTCTCCGATGTAACATTATTCTGTTAAGCGAAAGTGTGAAATGTAGATTTGAGACATCGATATTATTTACTTCAACAATTATGCAACAACATAGTCAAACTATGCATAGATGGATTACCATGGCCTCATCGATAACCTTTTGGTTTTTAAATTGACATCCAATAATTTCTTAAAGAATATGTGGTTGGAGCAGAGTTCCATAACATACGGCCAATAGCACAGTTCTATCCTTTTACAATCGATTGTGAATTCTGATGATACTATACATCCAACCATAATTAATTAAATTTCATGAATGCGCTCTTGCTCTTACATGGTTAGTTTTGATCCTAATCATCAGTCTCTCTACAGCTTTTTTCTATCGATTTAGTCTTACCTTAATATAATCCATCAAATTTATTTTTGTACTCAACAATATAGGGGCAAATTCACTCATCATGTGTTTCAAAATTGGCATGAGGGATTCTGGTATTTCTGCAGAAAAAAAACACTGTTTTGTTTGTAAATTTTAGAAGACAAAGTGTTTATACCCAAGTGGTCAGTATTGACTTGCAATTCCAAAACTCACCAAATAAAATCAGTAGGATTTTCAGGATCGGATTTTCATACTATCCTAAGGAAGAAGGTGGATCAATCATATGTGACCCTGAATCCATGTCGAGCAAAGAAATAGTTCTATAATACTATTTCATTTCATGGCATATAATTATTGCCAAATGGATTTGAACCAGGGTAGGTTAATCAGAGGCACAATGGCAAGCGTTCTTATTTGTATAATAATGTTCCAGTTACCAAGCAAAGTAGGTGTGACGCATTGCAAAGGAGTTGAGAATTAATCACTCATTGTAGTTCTCACCATCATTTTCGCAGAAATCAGTTACACTTGAATCATGATTCTCTCGAACTGGGAAACCATTCTCTAATGTGTGAATATTACTCCTGTTTGCCTCAGGTAATATGCCATTCATGTGTTCACACCAAGCTGACAAAACTGGTGCAGTGGTTTTCATCAAAAAACCTGTAAAACAATGATTTTCATTTGTCAACCGTAATTGCACCATAGTTCAGTGCTGATCACAGTTCAGGTCAATAGTTGACATATAAAATAGGAAAATTATACCAAACAGTTTGGGCAGAAATGCTTATGATTGTTGGATATGATGTCCTAATGCTAACTCTAAGTAGGACATGTGAATAAATTTACATTTATGGCTTTTACCTTTGAGATTCCACGAAATTGAGTTGAGTTGGAATAGAATTCCATTCCGAAAGGCATAGATTCTGCGTTATTATGACTTTTAACACTGATGCACTGTACCAGTCACATCTACTTTTGTATGTGCGATTTATAGTGGTTATCAAGTGAGAAGACAAATATTGGTGCATCAGTTTAGAGTTATTGTGTGCTAACTCCATCCATCAAAAATCTACATAGTCAGCCACGCCAAATGATTCTGATCTTTAAAAAATGTAGCTGCTACCTTTATAAATTAGAACTAAATTTTTGGAAGGTCACCTTGCTCACAAAAATTGGCTCGAGTTCATAAAATAACTAGATCTTGACTAGCAAACCTGGTACTGGGTCTCTAAACAGATGAGCATAGATCATTCCACCAAATGCGAAATCCCCAATACATGGTCTACCCCCTAGCAGATATGGATGTTTGTCAAAATGCTCAGAAAGTTCATACATTAATCTTTTCCAACTTCTCTCAATTTCTGAAATGAAAAAGACAATATTTACAGGGGATTAAATATTGAAAATGGCATATCAAGATTGTACTGATTATTACAATATATATTCCGACTAAGATATGAAATATATAACAGATCAAAAGAATATCAAAAGAAGAATTCATGCAACCTGGACCAGTTTTCTCTGTAATACCAAGACCAGGCAGCATTCCTTTAAACTTCCCATATCCTGACTCCGCAATATGTCTTTGACTTTCATGACTTTCTTTTGGCATAATCATCCGCCCAAACTCTTGTTTTATGAACGACATACTTTCTGGGAATGCCCATCTAAATATTGTTCAGGGTACAAATTAGCTTGAAATAAAGAACAAAAATTTGTCTTCTTGTGTGTTTAACATATTCTCAGAAAAGATTCCATATCATCATAAAATCCATCATAATCTATGTTTGTTTATGAAAAAGTGAAACCATTGGCAATTGATATTCCCATGCCCAGCGTTAGCAGCGTAGTCTAGTAACCGGACAAGAGGCTCCATATGCCACCTTACATGCTCTCCTTTTCCATAAATATGAAACCTGATAAATCCCTGAATTCTTCCCAGAGATACCTGAAATTTAATAAATTTCATAATAAATTTCATGAAATTTAATAAATTTCAGGTATCTGAATAAAATAAAATACCTACAACAAACTCTTACCTGTAATGCATGGCCGGTTGTACAAGCCATTCGTCAGCGAGAAGCTCAAGAAGTTTAGCAGCAATTCTTTGCCTTGGTCCCTCAGGAATGATTGATGGCTCTGGATGCCTGAACATAACATGATATTCAAAAGTGATTTCACAAGTCTGAATAGAGCAAAAATTCCAAATTATACCTGTGATAATTGCTAAATGATTAATATGAATTCTGGTAGCTAATATTTCTTCTATGACACATGGGAATATTTGAACACTCCGAGCATTATTATCATAGTTATTTGGCATACTCAATATGTAGACCCTAAAATAAAGCCAACTTCAAGTGAGGTTTGAACATGCAACTTTCAGACTTTGAAGTGCTATATGGAATATACAGTACGGTATATAACTTCATAAATAATTATGAAATTGAGAAATCGAGACTGTACCTCTTCTCAAGATAATTAATAATGTCTGTTGAATCCTGAATAACATCCCTATTAGGTGCCACCAACACTGGAATGACCGTCCAACCAACCTGCGGTTTGATGAAACCGCTGTAAATCTGTTGATACAAGCATACATTAGAATTTTCTCGTCAACTATGCATGAACAGTAGTCTATCTTGAAGAAAATGATTTCGTTGGGTAGAATGTGCGGATGCTGCAGCCTAGGGAGTATCACATACCAGCATACTGACATAGCTATATATAGTGGGCAGATATCTTTTCTTATAAGCTGACTTATCTCAAAAAAAAATACCGCCTGACTGCCTATGAGTAACTCATTTCCAGTATTACAGGTACCGGTACTTTATACCAGTATACGGTACTAGTTTACATTTTTGGCACGACCTTGCAGACAGCAAACTTTAAATGGTTAGAAGCGAAAATGAAATAAAAATAAATATTCAAGACAGATGCAAGAACACACTACTGCACTACAGCGATAACACAATTTCTACATCAGTGTCAGTACTGCAATATGACACATACGGTAATGTAAATTAAATATTTTAGACGCAGTAGGCCTACAGTAAGAAGGATTTTAGACGCAGTACAGTAAGAGAGATACTCACTTCAAGCGTTGCTTGGACTCGTTCAAACTTTATTCTCTTATGAATGAGATACGAGCGTACTTTTCCAGTATAAGGGGAAGGCTCCCCGCCAATGAGCTGGTACATATTGCCCTTGAACTCTTCGGAAACAGACCTAGTTGCAAAAAGCCTTCGACCAACAAGTCTTGCCGTCATACTACTGTGTTCTGTTTACAAAGTAAACTTCTGCAGAAGGCAATGGTGTGGGAGAAATACCCTGTAGCATTCACGGCTTGTTGGCTGCAACAATTTGAATTACCGTGATTGCTTTTTTGAATTGTAGTTAGTTCCCAACGTTCCGCGAAGGATTTTGTAATTTCTTTTATCTTTGACCAGGGTACGGTAACTGGCTTGCTTGTTATACCGTATTTGGTTGAATGCCAAAAAGTAATTACTAAAATATTTAAATAGCACTTTCATTCGATACACGAATCCAAGTACTGAAAAGCAAGAGCGTAACCAACCCAAGACTTATTTTGCAATTTTTTTTCAATACGACACTCACCCGCGTATTTCGCTCCGAACAAGGCCAGGCACAAGCGGCCACTGATATCCAAAAAAATGAGCTTCCTGCAGACTTACTTTGCTGTCGAAGTTATCCAAGATATACAAGGGGGGCGCAATTTTACGTAGCTCAGTTGGTTCGTTGAGACTACTAGAGGAAGGATTGATAGTCAGCCAGAAACGCCGGGGTCAGTGAATCGCCATGTTAAAACTACGACTACGCCTTACATTCTTACAATGTACATCTAAAAGTGTGGGGAAAATCTATAGTTATTTCGATATACTGTAATTACATTTTTTTACATTGATGCCGTCGGATCGGTTTCGCTAGTCGGTTTGTCTGTTGTTAACGATTCGTGTTTTGTTTGAATCTTGTCATCAACAACTTGACAGAGTTCGCGTATGGTTGAGTAGGTCGAATCCGCAAACATTCACCGATCTGATGCCAAATTCACTATGCAATCAGTATGTATATATATATATATATATGATGTATTTTGAAAACTGACATGCGACATCCATAAGTCGGATGGTCACAAACTCGTCTCCTTGTCTCGCGATAAATAGGATATTTCGATTTCTAGCGTAAACGATACTGAAATGCATTCGATATAAAATGCCTACACAAAGAAAGAATTTAAATGCAAACTATATTTCTTAAAAAACATTTAGTTTACCAGTCTACACCTGTGAATATTAGTTTACTCAGAATGTATATATGTATGTGCACATATACACAAAAAAAAATCGAGCAAAATATTTATACTGCGAATTAGCTTCGCTGTCGCTAATATAAATGTTCATAAATCGTGTAAATGTAAAACACCATTCTCACTGTCTCAATAGTACATTCGTTTAAACATTCATGCAAGGATACATTCTCACAAAAGTCAGTTGTTCAAAAATCCCATCTTGCAAAAACACATCAACGAAATAGGGTATTACACACATCTATAAATTCTTGCAAAACATCCCCGCAAAATTAAATTTACAGAAATTTCATTTCAACATTTTCTGAATTGCTGTCCTGAACGGATTGTAGTTCAAACTATTTTAAACCTTAAAATACTTGACTGTACCTGGACCATCTGAAAAAAAAACGGAGGGCAAATGAAATTGTGGTTACCCGACCTTCAATACATGATAGGAAATTTGAATACATCAAGACTGAAATATTCCGAGAGATTTTGAACAGTCTTTTTGATTTTACGAAAATTTTCGACGCCCTTCAATGTGTGCATGCAAAAAAAAAACAGCCATGAATTTTTGTTGAAATTGAGACACCTGGGAACGTCAAATAATAATAAAAACGCAAATCATGTTTAACTATCAATTGGTGTCACATGAGACTAAGCTTTCATCTATGCCTGCTCGCTGATGTATTCTATACGGTAACGACGCTGTAGCCCGAATAAACATGACTATTGTTGAATCAAGACTCTTGAATCCCATACAAAACCCATTGAAACAAAAGTATGTTTCATAAATGGTTATATATAGCGTTATACTCATGGCGGAAAGAGCAAATATAAAGGGATGTTTTTTGTAAACGAATGCAGATTAACCTAACTTCTTAGAAGAGAAAATAAGAAGACTCTTCGGATGGTTTAATAAATAGACATCGACGGATGTGATGTTGTTGAGTGACTCATATTACTAAAGCGTCTATACAACTCTATATATTTCATATATACATATAGTAACATTGAAAATAACAAATAAAAAACAACAACATTATCATTTTGAAATTCAAAAAAAAAAAATACCGCAGTGTAGAAAGCTAGTTTACTCATGTCCCAAAATGTTGATACCCCGTTAAGACGAAGTTCAAAAGGACTTCCAGATTGGGAAGCTTTGTTATCGAAGATCTCTGTTTGCTGTCCATTTAAGTAATCTGCCCGCAATTCTTGCAGGAACTTGGGGAGAAACGTAATACACAGAAAAAGATTTTATTCTATTGCTGTAGTGAAAATTTTGATCCACGCGTTGTAGAACAGGAATTCCCACGAATTCTGTTTTTGGGAGATATTACCTGTGGACTTAAAATGCGTATGGGTATAAATTTGAGAGAAAGAAAATTTTCACAGCTCCGATTCATGGGTCATCTAACTCTTGAGTCAAATCCGAGTTTCAGCATTTTTATTCCTCGGTGAATTCGTCTCATGGCGTTTCCTCACTTCAACTTGATTGTGGCCTGGCCCCAAATTTTCCGTGGCTTCAAAACCATAAAAAAGTTATTACCCCTGTTGTCTTTTTGGAGTAGTAGAATCCTAGTCCACCGTGAAATTAATAAATATGGGACACATTGACACTAAACACTCTAAATGTTTATATCTTGCGTTAATCTCGGAGTATTGGAACTAAACATGGATTTTATCTTATTTTGACAACATTTACTTCTAAATCAACGTGCCCTATTTCGAGTTTATGGCTAAAATTGATTAGCGAATTTTTGATTTCTTCTAAACAACATGAAACGATGTATATCGCTTTTCGATTTTTTTCTGAAGCTCGCACGTCATATTCAAGTGTCACGCCAAGCCTATCTGGCGGTTGGTCACGTAGTAGTTGTTGGGTTTTTGAAAGTGCTGCCCAAACACTGCGTAATTTGTAACGTAGGGTTTTTAAGTCGATGGCGTTCGAAGGCAATATGCTGTGTAGAAAAGACCGTCTTCTTCCTCGCTAAAGGACAATTAATTTAATTGCCTTTTGTAAACTGGCCAATACTCGGCTATTCTGTTGCCCAAGTACACAAGTGAACAAGATAAGCAGTCAAGAAATATTAACACCGCTCCAACGGTGCAATTTTGTATTCAACGCTCGGATTTTGGCTTCTTTTTTTTGGTAAAGGTTTTTTCTTACAATTCCTTACAATTCTTATTTATTTTCTTTCCTAACACATCTTCCTTCATAAGCTTTTAACTCTTATCTTTCTCACTTCCTACTCCCACTTCTTTCCCTTTTATCATTTTTTAGAGGAGACGAGCACCACGTGACAGGGAGAGTTGATATGAGTGTGCCTCAAGGTGCATTTCTCCTAACTCTCTCCTGTCAGAGAAGTGTTCGTCAACTCTAAACATCTGTTCTCTTCTGGTGTTTTTTATTTTTTTCCAGCCTGCAGGTATTTTTCACAGGAAAATGAACTACAAGCCTCTCCTGCAACATGTAAGTATATAACGAGGTAAGTATCGGTGGGTTGAGGCCTACTTCAATTTGAAAAAAGAATAATAATAGAGTAAATGAAAAAAAAAATTAATAGTTAGACGTGTTTTTTAATTTGAAAATCATTCTAAGTTGACTGAGACATTAATATTAGAACAAAACCAGAGTTATAGTACACGACGAACAGACGACCCTTCTATCGTTTCGAATACGACGACTCAAGTTTAGTTCTATTGTCGGAGTCAACGCATCTGCATTGAGGAATCGGCAACGAAAAAGGCGTTCGGCGGGAGTGCTCAACGCTTGTCGAGATACCCTGACAGCGCACTGATATATCATACGAATGTTACTATAGAACCTCAAGTATGTGTTGGCTGATCGGCATAATCTTAGGTTTTGAGGCTAATTCATTTGGAGACTAGGTTGAGCAATTTGTGATAATTCAGTGGTGGCGATGATTTAAGCCTTTCAGCTCAGACGACCGGACGTAGGCTACCAAATTCCCTCACGATTTTGCACGCAATTAATACGTTGTTACTGGACATAAATAATACGTTAAACTTTGCACGAAGGTCGAAAAATAGATGTAGTGCTATATTTTGAAATACATCCATAGCGCGTTTCTCGTGACATTATTCTCCACTCCAAAAATGGAATTTGTCTGTGGTACGCCGCCAGATTAAAAACACTAAAGTGGTACGCAGTCAGTAAAAGGTCGAGAAACACTGCCCTTGGTGGATGATTACTATATTTTTGGCGGGGCTTTCGACAAAAGTTCCGTCATGGTAACCCAAATATGCTATGACGCTGGGAAATAGATATGTACAAAATGTATTATGATGTAATTTTCAATAGTTCTAGTCGCGATTGATTTCGATGCTGTGGATCAAATGATGTTATGATCTGTAGTATGAACAAACTTGGTATTTATTTACGCTTTGAGATCGGACCGTTTGCTGTTACCGCTACGTGAATTACGGCAAATGAAAATCTAAATATTCAATTCAATCGCCTCGGACTACAGCCTCGGCAAAGAATGCCAATCATTTCATGTGGTCATCGGTCTGTCGAATAACAAATTACATTGAATATGCGACAAACTTTGATCACGCATCGATCACGTTTCAGGCGCATGGGTTGTAAAGTTTTCAAAAAGATACAACTTGGTAAAAGGAGAGAAGAGAAGAAGGTAGCGAAAAACAAACACCGCATTCACGTGTTCTTCATTTTGACAGTCGTGATCAGTTTTATTTCACGATGGTTGTTTGCGTTCGCAGAATCGAGCGGTAGATGCATCACGGGATTTCCTATTAAACTTCGACTCTGGCTTTTAGCGCTGATCATAACAAACAGTACAGGACATAATTAATACCTTAAAACTTTGCACGAAGATCGAAAAATATATGTTGTGCTATGTTATAGAATACTCGGGTATAGATAAATAGCGCGTTTCTTGTGACATTGTTCCCCACCCCAAAAGTGGGCTTTGTCTGTGTCATTACCATCTTTGGTAGACTATTTCAGTATTCAGGTATTTGAACATAACTGTTGAAAATTGAGCTAAAATATTTAGCGAATCCTGGTTTTATTCTAAAAAAAAGGAATACAATTAGTTATTTTACAGATTTAAATATTATGTTTACAAAACAGTTTTGTAGGCATGGATACTGCGAAACCTGTTAATATGTCATCCAAATCCGTCCGCTGCAATGAAGTGTGGCCACCCAAATATGCAATAATTGAAAATGGTTTGGACTTGAATACATTAACAAAACAGCCTATTGTGAAAACTGTGGAATTTACAGAACCACATTCACACGTGTTCCATGGATATTCAGGAATATTTAAGGAAGAAACTCAAAACCAATCAATAAACTTTCATGTTCCGAATAATGTCGATTTTGAGATCAGTCCAAAAACACATCTGGAATATGCAAAAAGTATTGTTAAAGAACATGAGCTTCCAAAATTGAATAAAGATGAAAATCGTCTCAAGCACCTCTTTGCTGGAGGGTGAGTGCATTCTTCTGATATATTTTTCAGTCTCTAGAAAACAGCTATTGAATTGCATTGTAAAATCACTTTCACCTGGTTAATGTAAAGCAGCAATATCTACTGGTGGAAGAATAATGTTTTTTTTCTTTTATGCTATGGCACAACGTAAGACTGCCTATTTGGTACTTTTATGTCACAATAAACCTCATTTAAAGATTTGTTTATTTCCTTAGTCTTTTAGTTTAACTCCTGTATTGTTATTTTTTGTACCAAGGCAAGAAATTATCTAGGTTATTACATCTGTTGCAGTATTGAGCTATGTACTTTTGCATCTTTATTGCATGAGTTTAAAGTGATGGGTAAATTTGGATAATTTTTTTAGATAGGTGCTTCAAATTGTAACAGTTTATATGGTACAATTTAATCTCGAATAAAAATTTATAATTTTATTTATTGAAGTCTGCTTAGTTTTCACTTGAAAATGTACAGAGGGGGAAGATATAGTATAGCTGACTTTTTTTAAATATGTTGATAATTAACGTTATATTTCAGAATTGCTGGCTGCGTAGCATCCATAGTGACATGTCCGTTAGATGTCATCAAGACCCGTCAACAATCATCTGGTAATGCACAAGGTGTCTCAGTTTTACAAACAAAAACATTTCTGCCAAAAGTGTCAAATTATGGTTTTCACAAAAACTCTCCATTTGCTCACGGAAGGATATTTCGAGCAAGGCGAATGCAGATGAGCCAAGCGACATCAATACCCAATTCCGGAACGTTTTTGAAAACTTTTATTGAAAGAAACCTAAAGAGTTCAGGCAATTCATCCATTTTACAACATTATAGGTAACTTCATATCTCAGTCATGACTTTTGTCCTATATGGCACAGATAATAGACATGAACAGGATCTATGTTTAATTAAAATTTCCTCATTCAAGTTTAAATAAAGGCACATGATAAGCTTTCATTTAAAAGTATGTTGATTACTGATAGGGGATTCATTAGCCAACACTGACACATTGAGAGCCAAAGTTAATTTATGGAACGAATATGTTAGAGATATCAGGTCGCAAGAGACTTCTGACAATGTAGATTGAGTATTAATAAATGGTAATTTTGAAATGAGAGTATTCAAGTATGTTTGCAATGTAAAAACATTTTAAAATAGAAGACTCATTTTCATACTTATCTTTTCAGGCACATCATGAATATGGAAGGACCAAGAGCTCTTTATAAAGGTTTAGGAACCACTCTGGTTGGTGTTGTGCCATCAAGGTAAAAAAAATGATAAGAGCTTATTTCTTCTATCTAGTTTACTTGCTTTCTGCTATTTGTCCGTCATAATATGATAATGAATATACGAAACATGTCACATTGCTGGCTCTTTTGACTGGCAGCTAGTTATTATTGATGAAAACCTGAGATGACTCAATTCAATTGCTTTCGATTTTGCTGCAAGACCTCATGGGGTATTTTAAGTTCATTGCAAATTGAAATGGACGCAATGCATTATCAATGAGATTGTTGTACCAAAACAACTTAAATAAATATGTTTTACAATATTTGAAAAGTTTTGATGGTAAATTGTTTTTAACTTTTATTTCAGAGCCATTTATTTCTATGCATACTCAAATTCCAAAAACTTCTACACAAGGAATTTTGGTCTGGACAAAGATTCATCCTCACTTCATTTAGTATCAGCTGGATCAGCAGGTAGCTGTAAATTTTTTTAACTGAAAGTGGTTTATTGTGTGAAACAATACTTGCTTAAACGTGTTTCTTCTGTTTGAATGTTTCACAATATCATCATTACCTCGCATTCAGCTTTTCATAATTTTGCTTTAAGCAGACTTCTCTATTACATGTTGATAACCTATTTGGGAGATTTTATTGTATCATACTAAACACTAAACTACACTACAAACACTACACTAAACAGTATTGAAAATCCAGCATAAACTTAGTTCTATATAGGGGATTTGATATTTTGAAGCCTCAAAGATTAGTTTTCTTATTTGATGATAGGAATGTTAACTCTAGTCTCTGTTTACCCCAAAGCTTATTAAGGCATTATTTTTGGGGGAACTACCGATATATTTCGTTTTAGATAATCCCATAGTTTGTTCAGGGGATATTTTTAGAAGCCAATGTATCTGATTCTGTTTGTTTATGGAAGATTTGAAGAGATTACTAGTACATTTCCATTTCCAGATCAATAAAAAAATATCTTATATCCGTGTGCTACTATATTACATCAGTCACCATCACCATGCTTTGTCATCAGATTATGTGTGTTTGCAAATGAGAGAATGTAATTTAAACCTTTTGTTTAAGGCCACACATATGATTCATTGTTTTCACTATTTATTAAATCATTTTTTGATTATGTCACTGACACTGTGGATTCCATAGGAGAAATCATTTTGGAAACGCAATATATTCTATAAAAAATGCGTTTTTTTTGGGGTGAAAACTTGGTGAAACTACTTAATATCAGTAAAGATTTGATTTCATTTCTGCAATGTGAATCTGAATTAGAAATTTAAATTAAACCATCCTATTCAGTTTTGGAAGACATCCAAAATTAATTTTACCTTGTCCTGTGATGAATTTCTTGCAAACAGCGAGTGATTTCATGTAATAAATTGCCCTTTTACATATTACACTTATAACATCATTTTGTTTGATTCTTATTAAGCATTCATTTTGAATATGTCACCCTGAACTTTCAGTCATTAATCAATGCATGTTTTTATTTCTAGGTATCTGCTGTACCACTGCAACTTCACCCCTTTGGGTAATAAAGACTAAATTACAACTTCACAGGTATGTTGATGTTTTATGACTTTTTCAATAAGATTGAGTTTTTTCACATTAAAAGATTACGAATACGATCCTTCCCAATCTCAATACAAGTTTACTACTTATCTTCTATGTGGAAACTGTATAATTATTAAAATGTGTCAAATTGATTTTTGCAATGTCAATGGTACTTATCGATAATGGTAAAATATAGTTGATTAGTGCATTTCAAGACTTTTAGGGGTAACTTGATCAATAGTAATACTTTTTTCATTTTATTTTAATTGTTTGGGCAGAGTAATATCAATATATATATTGTATAATCATTGATATAGTTATTAAATTGATTGGATTCAAATGTTTAATATTCCCGAATTCTGCTTTCATAATTCTGCTTCTGAATATGAATATTGTAAAAGGATTTCAATTTGGGTTTGAATAAATCAATTTAATCTGTAGAATGATTCACTCTGTAGAAGAATTTCATTGCCAAAAAAGTTGATTTCTACAGGAAATTTTCTTTTTCTTTTTATATTTGGTAAGTTTAAAATTACCATGGTTTCAAATATTGTTTTATTTTGTTTGGCACAGTGAGCTGTTGATAAACTACATGTTTGTTTATTTTTATAGGAGTGTACAAAGCAATATGTCAGTACGAGAATGTGTATTAAAAATCTGGCAAGCAGGTGGTATGAGAGGATTTTATCGTGGAATGACAGCGTCTTACGCTGGAATATTAGAGACAATTATTCATTTTGTGATTTACGAGAGACTCAAACTTTTGCATGTGAATAACAAACAGTTGAATTTATCGAACCAAAATGATAAGAATACCTGGAAAGACTATGCTACGTTGATGGCAATAGCAGCAATGTCAAAAACAACTGCAACATGCATTGCCTATCCTCATGGTAAGTTTATTTATTCAATATTGCTGATTGTGCAAAAGTCCTTCAGCAGTATTTTAATATTGGTATTTGAATGCCAACTGCTTGATGACTACTATACGGTTATCTTATGTGGGCCTTAGTTGTCAACATCCTATTTGGTCCATATATCTATAGCTCTTGCTTGATAATAATGAAATATCATTGCTAATAATAACAGTTTCAAGTAGGTTGTTTTTCTGTCCACTGGCTGGCTTGTTCAAACAGTGGAAAAGGTAGAACTGTTTGCCCATACTCATATCTATAGCAGTATTTTATTTCTCTCTAATTTTGCAAGAGTTCTCGATTATTTATTTTTCAATACTGAGAGCTATAAAAATATCCTGATCCAAGTACGCCCAAGTTTCATTGATATGCAATTTTTTGTTAATTTGGTTGAATATTCTGAAATGGAGAATGGATTATAAGTCTTGCATTATAAAATATGTATATAAATTACTTTTGTTTTCGGTTATAAAATGTATTAAATTCTTACAGAGGTTGTACGGACTCGTTTACGAGAAGAAACAAAACAAAGTAAATACCGTGGATTTTTTCAAACACTTTCAACTGTAGCAAAACACGAAGGAGTAAAAGCTTTATATCGTGGTCTCGGAACACAGATAATTAGACAGGTATACTATTTATCTTTAATCTTGTAATCGATTGTTCTTTTCACTATTGGCAGCTTATTTCTGAAAAGTGTGTTTTGTTGTAATTTTTTTTGTTCTAATCTAACGCAATTAAATCATGTTTTATTAAAGTGCCACATCAACTACAACATGGACGTTGTTCAAGGAAATTAGTTTGTAACAAAATTTGAAAATTATTTTATTCAAAGAAAGACAGATCTACTTAGAGAATTCAGATAATGGAAATGAATTCTCTATCTGTAGAAATTTTTATTCAAAACCTGTTTTACAGTTAAATTTTGGCTTTCACCCTAAGTTTTTTGCTAAATATGCTTTTGTTAAAAATGTTCAAAATTAATTTTATAAGATAAGATTATAGTTACAAACTTAGAATAGGCCTAGTTGGTAGAAACATTCTCCATTATTAATTAGTATCTGTAATCTTTCCTGTACATCACGAAAACATGATTGAATTTCCGATTTCCTGTAATCTTAATTACTCTTTTAATTATTAAGTGGAAAAGTCATGATATATTCCAAGCTTTACTCAGTAAAAGTTTTGACATAAATCTCCTTATTACTTCAAACAATGTGTTCAGATTATATTAGTTTGCAGTTTCTAAATTTTTCAAGCAGTAGGAATAGCAATTTTGAATTCACTTGAATTAAAGTGAAGGTTTGGACTTAATTTTGTTCATGTTGCACTTCTCTATTCGAACCTGTTTCTCACCGTATTTTATTATGAGCAGCCTTTTATTGAGTTTATTTTATACTTTTGGATTTTTTATAAGTTTTATTGAAATACCATTTGTAACAGTCCTGGGGTCATGGTTGTAAAGAAATTTCTTATTGATCATTTCGAGTTGAATAATATACATAATAAATTGAATTTCAAAGCAAGTCGAAATATGACTGTTCACCATGGTTATCCATTTACAGCTATATTTGCAATTGTATCTCATTTGAGTTACGTTAAACAATACATTTTATAAAAATACCCTTGTTTGGCATAAAGATACAGGTCATCACTCATAGATCTTGAATGTTTATGATTATTCATGGTCTCATGGAACAATTTGTTTGCTGTCAGTTATCTATATATTGAATATTACATATCTTTAGCAAACATAGACCCTGAAGTCTATGTGAACTTATGGGTGTGGACGTGTGGTGGCTTACTGTTTGCCAATAAATATTTCAAATAAAGATGTTAGTTTCATAAATATTATGCTGGCTTTGTGAAAACCGATTAGGAATATGTTTTCTTGCTTAGAATATCAACAAGATTTATTTTACCCTGTAGCTAAGCAAAGGTATTCAGAACTCTGACTTCACTTTTGCTTCAATATAATTATATTTCACTTCAACTGACCCCTTTTTCTCATTTGCAGGTTCCGAATATGGCCATTGTAATGGGAACATATGAATTTTTAATTGATGCATCATCTCGAGGATAAAATGAGTCAAAACTGGCTGTGAACAATTAAAATTTTCATTGCAATATCTGCAAGTTATCATGGCATTATTTTTTATATATACACTGTTCAATCGTACTTTTTTTTTTATCTTCACTATATTAGCAAAAGTAATAGTATGCTTGTTTGTAGTATTTTTTTTCCTTTCTGCAACTTCTCTTATAATAATATGAGTGAGGATGGTAACAATGTCAGTTCAGTTATTTATGTGATTTAAAATTTAAGTTGCTTCATATTCTCAAGTTATACTGCGTAAAGGTGTATTCCCGCCACATTTTTCTTGTCAAAAGAAAATCATAACTGAGACTTAAAGAACTGCTATGTGAAATTATTACTATATCAAGATTCTGATGAATTCGTATTCTAAAATTTGTTCAATTAAGGTAATACCCCCTTTCTACGGTACCATCAAATCGAGCAAAGGCTATTAAAAATAATTTTCTATCCTTATAATATATGTCTGGTATTACTATCTAATGGTATTAATCTTTGTAAACGGTGTTCTGATGGCAGAAGTCTGGCCAATGCTCAGTTTTACAAAATCTCATAATCTACCATTTCTTCAATCCACATTTAGATCTTGTTTCAGAACAATTTCCATCCTTTGTACGATACATGCTCTTTACCTTCTAACATATTTTTATATAAAAAGGTGTTCCATATATGATTGTGATTTTCTGTTGCTTTCCGTTTGTATCATATTATGTTTGTAGTAATTATATTGTATTATTCTTAGTGCCTTTAAACTCTAGTATGTCTCATGTTTCATTGTCATTGCCATAACAAACAAAAATAATTGTATTATACCTGTGTAGAGGAATACACAGACACAATTAAAAGGTAATTTTGTGGTGAGGAAAACCTAATTCAATTTGTTATAACAACGACCCTAAAATTAGTTATAAGCAATTCCGCAAGATTGTTAGCTTTGTTGTTTCTATGCTAAATGAAATTTACGTTTGTGAACCTTTTTTATCTTATTTATATCCTTTATTGGTGTGGATTGTATAAATGTTAAGTTTCAGCGTGTTATATGTTGTTTTGTCCATTTATTCGTTAACAGCTTTTGTCTCCAGCCCGCCAAGCTATTTAGCATGGCCCTTGTCAACACTCAATTTTTCAGCCAACAAGCATAAAATCTTGATCCGACAATTTATGCTACAACTTCTGATGTTAACAAATGAAGCAAAAACTCAAAATTTCAAGTGTCTCACTAAAATGTCGAATCATTTAAAATATTGCATTGTGAGAATTTTTTAATTAGTTGTGTACATGGAAAAACTAATTTTTTTGTGTGGCCTAGCTAGGTATCTAAAGTTGGTTATATGGCCCACCCTTGATCTTCTAATGTGTACTATGTTTCAAGTATACTAACTGGTAACTAGAAGAGAGAAAGCAGTTGCTATAAACAGCTTCTTTTTCCCTGGAAATGCCATTCTAATTTTAAAAATTCTACTGCCCTATATCAAATTTTGCATGAACAGTGCCACTATAATCTATATTCCAATCTCTGGCTAGCTTATTTTTAATAATATATAACAAAAGAATTACTGATATATTGGCTTTAAGGTTGGTAAAAACAATAGTACGGTACCTTTATATCTTTTTGTACGCGTCCAATTTCATTTTCATATTATTTTTTTCTTTATATATTTTTTTGGATCTGCCCAATTTCATTTTTAAATTGGCAGCTGTGTATGTCATTAGATGTCCTATGTATCTGCTACCGTTTTATGTGTTCCGTAGCGATTTCCAAAGATAAGTTTTTTGTCTTACTTAACAGTCATTTCTGTTCTTTTTCTTTGTACTTTGTGTTTAAGAGTTTTATGATATAATTTCTTTGCTGCTAAGCCAAAGCCTGTTTGTATGTTTGTTATTCAATAAATTTTTGAAAACTTGAATTTCAATATTAAAATCTGTAAAGTTTCTGTGGGTGGATATGAGTCTAGGATGTTTTCAAGGACGATCTATAATTGACATAAATACTCCTTGGCCTTGGCTATAGCTGTTTAGCACATAAGAGTTGGATCCCATATTGATATCTCATTGGTATATCAAGGGTATTTTCGAATACCTGATGATTTCAGAATCAAATCGAAATTGTATGTAACTTTCTTATTATTTTAGGTCCTCCAGACACATAAATCGCTGAAAACATAGAATACATCACTAAAAATAAAAACACGTTTCCATCAATACCTCAATACAGAAAAGAGTCATATGTCAGAATTGCGATGAAAAAATATGGCTTCAATGAAAAAAAAAGTGAAAAAATTTACCTCGACCAATGGTGGAAAGAAAAAAACAAGATGGCTGCGATTCGAAAATTTGCTCCAAAACGATTCGAATAATTCACTATTCTATTCAAAATGCCCAGCCCTAGTCCACCAGGAAGCTGATTACCTTTGTATTGGTGTTGTTAGTCTGGCAATACCTACATTACGCCCATAATATTTGACAATGACTAAGAATTGTTTTGTGAGTAGGGGCTTCACCTGTTTTGTAAAAGTGGATGATATGGAACTTGGTAAATGGCATTTCCCACCACACGCCCAAGCTAATTGTCAAGCACGAATAAATAGCATCCGCCCTTTGGTAGTTACGTTTACATAAAACACAGCTCGGCCCCTGTAAGGAGAAACATTTCTTTAAAATCTATCTGGGACTAGAAGCAAATTGGACGAGGTACTTTCCCTGGTTTAAAGGACTGGGTGGACGGGAGAGCCAGCAAACCATATGATGGTTTGATATTCTCATCCACCGTCATCGTGTTTCCCAAGACAATAAATAGGATAGTCATAGTTTTGAGATATGTTGTCACGTACATAGTGAAGAAGTCAACGTCATGATGTACGTTCTCATCAGAGCAGAACACCGCGTGTTTTTAACGAGGTGCGAATCGTCCTTCATGCGGATAATTGTAGTATGGTTTCAAATGAATATTCAATTCCACCAGACATTGTGCGAAAAAATTGCGAGACATTCCATTGACACGACGCGCACTGCGTATTATTGCGCCATCCCACCGAAATAGAAAGTACAAAGTTCGAAGAGTCACATCCATGCAGAATTCGTTTGCGATTTTTAAACTCGACTTGTGTAGGTAGGCCCAAGGCAACCTGCTACAGCAACCAGATGTTTTCTTCACACCCAGAAAGCAGAGCCATCCAAGACTCAAATAGAGAGTCTGGTGGGCTTGAGCAGGCGTTGCTCATCTTCGGTACAAGCGAGGATTTTAATATCTAGTTCCCGTTTAGACAAGCATTGTCCCATACTTTAGCACCCCCGTCATAAGGAGCGTGAAATATCAGGAACAAACTAGAAGCCAGTCTTAACTACAGAAATCCTGACCTGAAGGCAGTGTCGTGCCTACACCTAAGCGAAAAACAACAATTATCATCTCACATACGTTTGCACCGATCTATCTGAAAATGGGTACCTTGACCAGATTAAAGCAAAGCTTGAATGTATTTAAGTATCAAGCATGACAGCACTTGGCCAAAGCTGAAACCAAAAACACAACATTTAACAAGAACAATATCTTGGTCAACTTACAGAAAAGCGAATACACAAAATTGAAATAAAAACACAAAGTCATAATTCAAATACACAGATTATTACTTGCGATTAGCAACATCTCAATTAAATATTTATTTACCAGTAAGGAGGCCAAAACAATTGCAGTTGAAGTCAATTATAAAACACAAAATGGCTTTTGAATAGAGTAAAAATAAAATTAGCAGAAAATGGGCTAATCAAATTGATGAACACTTTGCTGTTGTAACATTTTCAACACAACTATAATTGTCTAACCAGTAAAAATATGATTCAGTGATGATATCGCTCCTATCTTATATTATATGGACATTTTAATTAATATCAAAAAGACAAACTATGAGGAATACTTGCACTCTGCAGAAATTAAGTTTGCATAGACCATACAGTAATCAAAAGTTTGGGAAGGCACCTGTGAAAAAAGATGATGTCAAATATACAGAAAATTATTGTGCAATCGCAAAAACTTGCCAATTCAGTAGAAAATCGTTTGTAGCTCACAGTATGCAGCGAATTAGTAAAAACATTTATGATTTAAGCATGGGCAGGCATAATAGACATATGGTAAGTTATGTGCACTGTAAAGCAGCAGATATAATTTGCTTAACTGGAAAAACTTGACTGTTGACGTCTGAATATAGGCAGTGATGAACTTAAGTAAAAAATTACAGGCAATATTTATAAAGCAGAATAAAACACAATGTTTAGGTAACTACCATTAATACAAATGTAAGAGAAATGCTCAAATGTATGAATACAAAGGTCATATAACTAATCGTAATAATCTGTATTGCTCAAAAATATCAAGTCCTACAACCATAGCAATTCACATAGCTTAGTATAGTACAATGGCTGCCGAAGAAAATATGGTTGGCTAGCCTGACGGAATGTGACACCAATCTGGTGGGGTGGAATATCGAGCTCAAAAAAAAAACAGCGGAACCTTAAAAAGAGAAAAATAAAATTGACAGACTTATAGTGACTTTATTGCTGATATTTAGCGACTTTTTCACAATAACATTTCCAAGCATCTCAACAAGAACAACAATGTTCTGCATAATGACCCATAAGTCCACTTCACGTCCAAAAATAATCTCTTTAAATAATCAATAATAATATCTACTTGAAGAGCTGTGGCTTGTTATTTTTACTTCCCATCTACCATATTGTAAATAGTTTAAAAGTTATTCCAAAGTTTCTATTGAAAATTTGGATATTCTTGATTTTCCATCTTTCTTTTCCACCCTGAAGTAGTGATCAACATGATTTGATCTTCCGAGTAATTCAACAAAATCTTCATCGTGGGTGATGACAATCAACTGGAAATTTCTTTGCTTCTCACGTGACTCAATGATGCTAAGAAACAAAATAGTTACAGGATTAGGATTTATATACAGTAAATTTTAGCTCATTCATACGAGCGCCAGACCATTTAGCTAGTTAACAGTCTTTTTGGTGTTAAATATATCTGATTTGACAGGCAAAATATAATATGCTGATAATGATTATGTCAAATTTGTTAATTGTAAGACTCAATACATTACCTTACAAGTGCTCCAGCCAAGCTTTCAATATGATATCTATCTAAGTTTGTAGTTGGTTCATCCAAGGCTAAGATTCCACAATTGATACAAAATGTTTCAGCAAGAGCCAAACGAATAACAAGTGAAGCTAAAACCTGAAAACCAATATTTTCCAGTTCAAACATAATGCTAGGTGACTAGGTCAATCATTAAAGTAAAATCAAGGTTAGAATAGTTGTACTTGTTGAAGTATCCCAGATCATCAACTTTTTTCTGTGGCAATGACCAATCAACAATATGTTGTTAACAGTGATGTAACAATCAAAATTTGTGCAGCTGTTTAGACACTTTTACACTGAAGGCATATTTTCGAGCATGGTTATGAACATTGGCCCAATTTTGTGGTTTTGAGTTCTATTTTTAGTTGTTGTGTTTCAAATATTTTGCGATATTAAAATGAATGAAAAATTTTTCTGAGGTCAAGAATTGGAATACTGTAATATATATTGGACTGATTACATGCAACACAAGTTTTTGTCATCAAAGTCCAATATATGATATTTGAGCATTTCAACTCATCAGCAGTTTAGCATAAGGACTATGAACCCAGTTTAAACTGAACAAAGTACATCAGCATGTCCCAATGGGAATTGAATTAATTACGATGAAAGGATATTTATAACTTCATATCCGCATGCTCGCAGCATGATCACAGTATCTATTCGGCCATTTAACATGGCTATTTAGCAGACAGTAAGAGTAGTTTCTTCATCCTTTTTAGTTGTTTAGTTGTTAATTTTGCATATTTGTGACCATAAAATGTCAATGTTCTGCGATAATTATTCTGTACAGCATCATATAAATTAGTATGCCTCATTTATTTTATCCTTTTGTTACTGCTGATCTGTGTATGGTGGCAATCTCTGACATAGTTGTCAAAATATTTGGCTTAATTAGGTATGCGCTATAAAATTCATTCTAAAGGGTGAGGCCAATTTTCACAACAGTAGTGGTGAATACCTTCTGGCCAGCACTGCATCTTCCTCTCATATCAATTTTTTGACCTTGAGAACATTTAATCAATCTGTAATTATAAACTCTCCTTGCAGATGACGATGTCGTACTGTCTTCATCGCTGCATATTTCTATGTAGTCGATATCTGGAATGACAAATACAGTAAACAATAGATCAAGGAAATAAAGAACAAGTCACTTTCTTTAACCTGTTGTGCGAATATGAGACAAACCAGTTTAATAAACAAAGATCGCTTAAAATAAAGATCTTCAAAATCTCAGATTTAATGAATATTCCATCTGCCTCTCAATTCACCAAGTCCTCCCAAACTATAGCAGCTCATTTCTTAACAGTGACTGCTTGGCAAGAGCCTTATTAAGAGCAAAAGGGGTATAAATAGATATGTTAAGTAAAAAACAGTAGATAGACAGATAAAACTAAGATTGTAGAGTCTGCAAAAATTTACATCAAAATCTAATTATGTTAAAAAAAAGATTTCAGCTTCAGCAACTAACTGTACCAAATTTTGATAATCGAAACTTTGTCATATGAAAGCTTTCATTAATTGTCTACTTAGAATGCATAGTCAAACTTTTCTCCAAAACTTTTGCAAATTTTGACTGCCGTTAACACAATTAAATTATGAAATGACGGACAGAGAACTAGAGAAGGATTACAAATTTTGATTCAGCATTTGACCCTTGGGTAATTTGAAAAATAAGACTGGAAATACATGCAATTTCTTACCATGTCCCCGATAAGTTTCCGTCCATATTTCTCTGATAATTTTATTTATTTCAGACATTTTCATACTGTGATATCTCATGATAGCACGATCCAATGCATTATGATATTTCTCCAAATCTTCAATCGCCAGTTTCAACGTTGTCACTTTAATCAAACAATCTTTGTGTCTCTCATCAGCATGTCTAGAAAAGAAAATAAACATTTTTGTATCTTTATTTTATACAACGCTTTTCTGTGTTTTTCACTCTGAACAGGGCCCAGTACAAGCAGACATACAAGGAGATAATGTTTTTGGAACGACTTGAATCAATCAGCATTCCATTGATTCCATGCTCAATTTATTCCACCATAGGGTGGAAGGTGGTTGGCATGAGATTTAAACTCTAGAATTTCAAGCTGCAATGCCAGCATTGACACTTTGACCATTTCACTATAAATGAGGCTCAGCGATGTGGCGTATCAAGCTGAGCGTTAGGAAAATGCTCGCCACCACACCTCTGAATATCCTGCGTGGGTTCGCAGGTTCGAATCCTATGCGAGGATGGTTATGTACGTGAGGATTGCTGGACTCCTCGCCATCGTAAGGGGGTCCACACAACCGCTGGTCGGTTGCGACCCTTTACATATCAGTGTCTGGCTGCTTGAACAGAGCCTTGCTCGGGGTTATTTGAGAGGCATTTAAAAAAATCATATAAAAATAGCGGAAACTGCAGATCCAAAATTTGATTCACATTCCCCAATAAACTATGTCAACTTTAAAATCAATCAGCAATTCCAAAAGAACAGGCCTAGTATTGCTAATATGTGGTTGAATTCCCAGAGGGGTTCAAAGTTCAAACATTGTGAATGAAAGACCAGAATACAATCAACGTTTTAATCTCAACTTCTTTCAATATGAAGGAAATCAAATTGAACTCTGCACAAACTAGTTTCGGTTTTGAGTTCGAATGATACATGACTACATTGCTATCATTATGATTATCTTTCCCAGATGTTAAAAGGATATATAACATTACTGGAAAAGTGGTAGCTCTGTACAGTGTGCTAAACGTGTGATAGTTATAAATAGAAATCATGGTAATCATGCCTATAAGAGCCTTCGAGTTCTTGACAAGTTTCCAATCCACTGATTAAAGGACAGTATGATATATGAAATGTCGACAAAGGGTCAATGGGAATAAATTGTTAACATTTTTTTTCATAAACATATCTAATAAATGTGTGTTTGTGTTTCACAGGATGAAAAAGAAAAATAGAACACTCGTCATTTATAACTTATTCTGACAACTTATTTGTTTGAGTGATCAATTGTTAAATAAATTTTCTTCTTTTTTGTGGAAGCAATCGTGAACTTTATGGTTCATGTTTTTTTGGATCACTTGATTCCTGTAGCATTCTTAAAGATGTATCAAAGTTTATTTGTCAACTTGCGAATGGGCAGTAATTAATATTATAAAAATAAATATGAGAAGGAAAAATAAACTAATAAGAGGGAATGAGAAAAATATAAAAATAAATGTCATGTGAATAGTACAAAAAATGTAGGGCGTACTTCAAATCTTCTTTTTCAAGTTCTTTTTTAACGGAGTTAACATTTTCCTTGATTCCTTCTTGTCTGGTTGCACATCTTTCTTTCTCTTTTGTTAAAGAATGCCATTTATTGCTCAATTCTGTAATTTCCCTATTAAAATAACATCAAAATATCAGGTGAAGGTGTTAAAACAAAGCATTTTAATATAATATCACATTAATAAGTGTGTAAAATAGTGGTATTCTACCAAGGTTGCAGATTGCAGGTATAGGTAGATATTGTAATTGGAACAAACACCAATTTCATTTACACATAATATTTTATTTTTATCATTTCCTTAATTAATAGTTGAGTGTTTTGTTATTTCTATAATGGGTCATCGTCAATTTCAAATTTTTCCATTAATTTTGTATGTACATTTTGAAGATTAAAAGGTATATAAATGAAGAGTCAAACAAACTTACTCATTAATGCCTTTTTTTTAAAACATTTTGACCAAAATTAAAAACTAGCTTAAAATCATCACATTTTCCGAACCTCCTAAAGTATGCGCACCAAGATGGCGCACAACCTGAACTCCGGTTGTGTACCAGGTTAGAGTTCAGGATATGCGACATCTTGGTGCGCATACTTCAGGAGTACCCATTTTCCTGATCTTCTTATATGTTCATCATTTTCATTGAGGCGCATCAATTTATTTTGTGGAAATTTCAGTTTGGGATCACCGCAACGCTGACCCAGCATAATGATAATGCCCAAACTAATAGGCAAATAGATATTTCAATTACTGAATTGAGGTTGTAGAAAATGTTCCATACCTATACTCTACATCTGATTTATATTTCTAAAAAAAGTAAACACGCATGCAAAATATATTCTATTAGGAATATTTATTTTGTGATATTCCGTAATTCTCAATGCCAACGTTATTATTATCCTTCCCAGATGGTAAGAATCGAGATTTAACATGACAGGTAATGTGGTTCCTCAGCGTACAGCGTGCTAAACGCGTGATAGTTATAAATAGAAGTCATGGTGATCGTCCCGATAAGAGCCTTTAAGATTGTGACAACTTTCCAACCACTGATTAAATGTTGGATTGTTAGTATAAATGAAAAAGTCAGTAACTGTTAATTGCCATTTTTCAGTTTCAGCCGACAGATATGCAATTTCGACCAGAGTTCAAATAAGAGAGAACTCATTAACTGTCGGTATCACACATCGAGCACGTGGTACTACAGAATGTTGAATTAATAAACCACATCCCGTGGCACCACAAGTCTGCAATCTAATTATAAAGTGCGTTTGTCAAACCACCCCGCCATATGCTTCATACAGCAAATATCTTTATAGTTATGAAGCTTTTTTGTGAACCCAAGTTGGCGAAATAGGAAATACCAGCCCCGCAATTTGAGGAACTTTGTCCTTCTTGGGGAGAATAATACTAATTTATGCACACGTTATAACTGTTTATAACTGTAAAAAAAAGAAGTGCGACTTGAGCATAACACAGGATCTGAGACCAGCTAAAGATTGAATAAATAAAGTATTCCAAAAAAGGGGAAGGGGGAGAATTTAACAAAAAACGTTGGGAACCACTGTGTTTGGCAAACACAGTTCAAACTACATATTGTTCTTTTTTGTTCTTTTCTATTGTTCGCATGAAGTGTATTTTTTATGGTGATAAAATAGATACTGACTACTGAATTACCCATTGATTTCATTAAATATAATATGGTTTTGATAGATCAGTGTATATTAAAAATATTACCATCTAGTATCTAGGCCTTTTATCTTTTATTTTGTTGCTACTTCAATACTATTTACCCCTCTAATTTCCTAGAATCAAGTCCTTTTATTCTTTCTTTCATATTTTCAATCGTACTTGTGGTTTCATTTATGACTTCATCTTGTTTACGTAGATTTCTGTTATCGTCAAGATCTCGTTGTCTATCCTGATTTAAAATTGAAAAATAATACATACTTTTTTAATGGTTATCCTACTTGACAAAACATACGGTAAGACATTTTCATTGGTTAATGTGGTTATCCACGGAGCCATGTGTATGGATGCATGAGAACTTTTCAACAGATTACCAACGCATGTAGAGTATGGTAATAGTTCAACAGTTATTTTACAAACGCATAGACGTTACAGATGCGTGGACCTGGACACTATAACTGTTTCGCTATCTACCCAGACTGGTAACCAGGTGAGGTTGTGGTTTGCTATATTGTGAGTAATCACTCTTTCGACTGTCTCCGTGAATCTGTATATTCATTTACATTTTTTATTCCAAGCTTATTTTCCAGTACTAAATTACTAATATACACAGGGAAAGATTATGGGCCAATGTAGGAATTTCTTCAGCTAAAAATAAAATTGTTTGATGTATAAAATTTAACAACATAGAACTTACTTTGCAAGTAGCGAGTTCTTTTTCTATGTGTGTAATTTCATCTCTTAATTTATTTAGTTCTTTTTCCTTGCTGTCCAATTCTGATTCAATCCTTGTTGTTGCATTTTGAGTTTGCTGTATTGAAAGATAGAGTTATAAAAATTAGCAACTCATGATTAAAAATGTAACAACGATTGCTGTCTATTAATTCATCAGCAATAAGTAAGGCTGGATTGACTAAGTTTCAGACAAAGGTTTGCCAGTACAGAGAGGTTATCAATATTTTATCCAGTATTAAGCAGGGCTGCAAAGTCTGAAGTTTTTTTTTTTATTGATAGTGGAGTCGTTTTTTTAACCTATGAGTCGAAGAAAAATTTCGTAAAATTAGGAACTCAAGAGATGGGATTTTAGATGTATGACGTTGGTAATTAAAGTCACTAAACTAAAAAAAAAACAATACTTCAACTAAGAATTCAAAACATACAATTAAAGAAGGCATAAGTCATGTTTTTTGTGATCTAAAGACAGTCTAGTTTACTCAAAATCAGGATAAGACTTTTTGTCAACCAGGAGACCACAGTCATTTTTTCTTAAATGGCCCAGCTTTTGGAGTTGAAGGTCGGTTAAATGCTAATCGATGTCAGAATTTTCACCAAAAAAAAAATTATCAAGTTGCCCGAGTATTCTAAACATACAATTAAAGAAGGCATAAGTCATAGTTTATGTGGTTAAAATTTGGTTTACCTAGAATGAGGATAAAAATTTTTGACAGCCGAAAAGCCTTGGGTAATTTTTTCTTAAATGTCCCTGCATTTGGAGTTAAAAGTCGGTTAAGAGCTAACAATAGCTGCGGGCCTTGTAAATATTTTCAGAAGTTGTTTTTCTGTGATTTTCATACCAAACAATAAAATTTTCCTTCTTACCTTAAGAGAATTTAGTCTCCCAGAATTCAAATATTTTTTAATTTCTGCATTAGATTTGACGATATCTTGATAAGTAGACTTCATAGATTGCAGATGATTATTTGCTACTTTCATTTCATCATCTCTCGTTTTTGTGGCTAATCGCTTCTTGTTTTCAAGTTCTGATAATTGCCTAAACATATTGATTTAAATGATATTATCCAAATTATTTAGACAGTTTTCAAGATCAGACTCCACACTATGATCTATTTGATTTGATAATAGTTGCTAACCTAATGGGCATTTGATTAGATTTAAACAATACACATCTGGCTTAAGAGTCTAGTTGACGATGATTTGACTCAGACTTCATTTCTGGCTCTATGAAGAAGAAATAAGAAAATTTTGACCCAAAATATGTATGTCAACTGAATACTTTTTGGTTTTGGTTTGACAATAGGCCCCAAACTCTGCCCATAGGATCACATTCAAATTGCGAAAAATAAAAATTTGCGACAAAAATTTGAAAGCCTTCTCCAACTATATTATTTACACGTCGCCATAAGTCAGGTGCTAATAAAAAATGTAGTAGGCTATTCAGCAAATAATCCACTTACCTTTCTAATGGAGATATTTTATCATGAGATTCTCTACACTGCTGTTGCAGTTGTTTGATTTCATTCAACATTGTTTTCTGAGATTCTTTCAACTGTTTACATTTTTCTACATCAGCAGCAATTTTCAATTTCTCTCCCTAAATATAACAGATTCCTATTATGAACTGTTATTATTAATATTTATAACTAAGTAGACCAATGACCACCTTACTATAACAGCCTAGAGTTAAGTTAAACATATTCTGAAATAAAATGGAAATCAAAGCTTTTAAAATAAAAGGGCGAAACTTGAGAAAGCTGTTTTGAGAAAATGAATTAAACGTATATTTTCAATTTTACTCCCGTGGTTTCTTATTGAAATGATTTGGTGAATATTAATTTAACCCTTTCCGTGCGGTGGGCACGTATACGTACCCACGACAAAAGTCGCTAGATTGCGGCAGGTACGTTGATGTACTCCACTGTTTTATTTAGCAATCGGTCGCAAACTGTTGGTCTAGTTTTTCCGGGTTTTAGTTTATTGATAAGAAGTCTTCTTCGAGATTAACATAAGCGACGGTAAATCTCGCTTTCGTTCATGACGGGAATTTTATTTGCAGCGGAACGAGGGAGTGTTTTTGAAATTTAGGCAAATTTCGGTGTTTTTAGGGTGGTAATAGAAGACATATTATCCCTTCCATCTACCAAAGTATTTTGAGTTGGATCACGAAATTGCTACAGCAATATTATGCTATTGTTTGCCAACCACGAAGCGGTAACAGTAAAGGATTTAGCGAATATTTCTATTTTTTATCACGGTTTGAAGTTTCAACTCCCAAGAAAAAAAATGCCTTTTTTCTATCCGGTTTGTGACTCAGACCACCACTTTTAAAAAAACTTTTTTTTTTAATCGCCAATTGCAAGCTCTTTAAATAAGCTTTCCAACGAGCCGTCAGTGGGCAGCAGAGGATCATTAGTTTTTCGTTAGTCGATCGATTAGTTGTGGGGGTACAAATGCATAAAATCGGCGTAACAAATACGATTATTTAATAAAAAATAAAAATCGCATGGAAAGGGTTAAACTATGATCTGATACCAGCTTAATAAGCACTTATTTTTTGCAATATTTTCCAATGAAAACTTATTCAACTTCAAAATTTTCCCTCTTGTCTTAAAACCCTGGAAATGGAAATTTACGTTAAAATTTAAGACTTGTTTTATATTTCACAAAGAAGATATTGCTTTTGGTCTTCTGGTCAATGAAGGAATAAATTTTAAATGTTTTCAAGAGTTAATAACAAGCCACTCTCAATAAAATAATCTGCATAAACATCAGGTGGAATCAATTAAATAACCTGCAATTTAAGAATGCAAAGCTAAAGCTTGAAACCATGAACTGAGAAAAGACTATGAATTTGTGTGAATTGGAAATGAACACCACAAAGCTTAGGAAACCACATGTTCTTGTAGGTAAATATTGACAGTAAACTAATAAAAATTGTTTTTGATGAAGTATATCGACTATATTCGCAAGAAACAACCCTATTAGACACGTTCCACTAAAAATTATGAAATATTCAACTAATTAGCGATAAAGCAGTGCTATGTAGTCAAAATTTCATGTTTTTACTGAAATCAGATTTAGAATCAGACTCATGTTTTTGATTACCTCAGAGTCAGATTCTCTGACTTCTAATGTTGATAATGGAAGTCAAATAATCAAATGAAAACTGAGAAAGCATTAAACAGAATTATTATTCTTAACAGACAATTAAAGTCTTCCGTCCAGAAGTCAGAGTTGTTTTTCAAACTGCTCAGAGTAAAAAGTTTGGTAAAAATTTTTCCATGACACTACAGCACTACGATAAACATGTAACAAAACATTTCGTACTAAAATTTTCTTTATTTGATGAGATTGATAACAAACCTGTAGTAAATTAACGTTTTCTCCAAACAACCTCAATGTATCCGTTTGTTTCTCTATTTGGTCACGTTTGTCATCAATAGTTTTGCTATCTGAAAAAAAAAAAATTAGAAAGTCATTGTAGTTTTCATATATGACACTGCATGCTATTAGTTTGATCGTTTTGGAATCGTTATATTCATTTTGGGAAACCTTTTCGGTTCTTAACTATTATTAAGTGAACTTCTTACATTTTTGTATTTCTGCTGATAATTTCTGCTTCTCTGCACTCAATGTATCGTAACTTTGTCCTGAAGATCCGGAAGTAGGTAATTGTGCTTCTTCAAATCCTATCTTTCTTGTGAGATCTTTTATTTCTGTCTAAAACGAAATAACCAAGGAATAGATTTTACACAAGGCAAAGTATAAACCTTTTACTGCTTATTCAAGCAAAGATACTGGATTGCTAGGAATTAAGCTAAAAAAGCCAAAACAGTACAATTTGACCTGACTCAAGCCCAAAGAATCTTCCACAGACACATAGAACGAATGAGAATAAGGGTATCCTAGAGCTGAGATCTAATAACTAACTATTCATTTCCATTTACATTCCCAAATAAGGCTGTAACATGAGCATCACAATATCCCTTCAAAATTACGGCAAACTGAGATCGTTAACTCACAAAAGTATATTATCTATCCTAAAACATCACTGCCTGATAGGTTGATTAGAACTATTTGAAAATACAATTATAATATATTAATCAATACAATTTATAAAAACGTACCACAATACTCTCCACTTGTGCAACATCATTGGAGCAAGATTGTGCAGTTGCACATTCCTCTTGTACTTTACGAACTGCAGCTTCCTTAGCATCTATGATTTGTCTCACTTCTGTGATTTTGTTTTTCAAATCAGTGATTTGTTTTTTGATATCAGGAATCACTTCTGAATTCAACTTGTCCATTTCTTCTCTAAAATGATATATTGGTGATGATGATAACTAACTGACACTCCCTATGAAAAAGAAGCTGAACTGTTTGAAAGTACCAGATATACTGTTGCACATAGACTAACAAATTTGCTACTTCTAGAGTGAAGAACTGAGAAATAAATTGACAGGGGCTTAAATCACATTTTTCATGATAGGTGTCGAGATAGTATAGTGGTTGAATTTAACCATGTCTGCATCAAAATTGAAAAATAGTGTTTTCAGGTACCATTTCTACCACCTCATCTAGCAGTGTGGCCATGAAACAGTAACAATTCCAGACCTAATATAATGGCTACTTGTACAAAACCTTGTCAGGAGTTAATGGTATGTAAAAAGTTACATAAAAATAATGCTCCAAGGCAGTATCTAATTTTGAGTTTGTTAATCAGTCTATCAATTGCATATCTTGGGTTTTTCATTCAGTATTGAGATACACAACTTAAGAACTGCCCACGTTTAGATATTAGACACAAAATGGCCTTATAGAGCATTTCGCTGAGTTCTTGATTCTTTTTCTCCTGAACTGATACACCATTCGTTTTCAAATTTTCAGTACTGAAAGATGCTTTTATTTTTCTCCGTTTTTTATTGACGGAGATTAATTTTTATTCCATATTGCTCGTCGGCCTCTGTACTGCTTGTCCACCAATCCTCTTAGCAAACTTAGTGCTTTGAGGACTTGCTGTACCGGTACCGATACAGGGTCTCTTTGAGTCCTTGGTTAGAAAGAATTTTTGTTATTTCAACATACTTAGCAGGCCTCTGTTGCAGCAGCATTTGATAACGTTTACGTTTCTTCTCCAGATCTTGTTCTTGTGTCAACATTTTACGAGGAGCAAGCTCTAGTTTCCTATGAAGTTCTTCTGCCAATTCTTCAACTTCCTGCAGTAAAAAACCTTTTATTTATCCTAATACATTGTATTGACAAGATCACACAATATTACAAAATGGCCAGGAATATTAATAAGAAGTGAATATTCGAATCGATTCAAAATTTATATACATATTATAGATAAATCTGAATTGAAATTTTGATATATGAAAGTCTCACAATATGATGAAAACGAAGTTATTCAATTTCTGAAAACTATAAAAAAATGGACAACCATTCAAATCACTGTTTTTGTTTAACCTCTCTATATTTCTAAATTTATTCTATTCCCAATATGATCCAATGTAAATATATTCAATGTTACATATTTAAAAATCTGATTTAAAAATGAATTCAAAATAGTAGATTATATGGTTTCGGCCATGAGCATAACCCATTTAAACTCGTATTCCATAATGCAGACCAGTATTCCCTTCACTACAAGATGTAAAAAAAAATACAAGAACTATAATATTCTAGCAATGATATCAATATAACCTGCGCTTGATCAAATAGCCGGTGACACAATGGGCATGGTGTATTCTGATGATCATCAGATGCTCGCAACTTTTTCAAAAATTCTTTGTACATGAACTGAATCCCATCTGTTAGACCTGAAAAACAGATTAACAACTTGTTGAGTTAAATTCAATGAAAAACCACAATGACATATTCAATATGAAATACATCTTGCCAAATTAGACTCTATAATTATTGTTGAGAGATATTCATTATCAGAATCAAAAAAGTTTGAACAACTTGACCATGCAATAAATAATCCAGACAGAAAATATAAAAAAATTTCTCTTCAAGCTTCAAAATTTGAATGATATGTTACAAATTACAAGTTACTCATATTTAATGTAGAAACATAAAAAAAAGCTTGGAATAAATTACCTTAGTAATAATACAGTTACAATATTTACCTTTATATATCCATAAACACAAAATAAGAAACGAAAATATTGTGCTCGAATAGGAGATGGGGAGTTGGTTGTAGATTACAATGGCTTCAACCACGACTCCAAAGCTTTATTTTTTAGCCTCGAAGCTAAAACTAAAAGTTTTGCATTTATTATGTTAAACTTGGCTCGAGCATCATCAAAATGTCACTGATTCACGACTCCAAACTCCTACTACAGCACTGGTTCGCCAGTCCTGACTTGAACAATAAGTACCAGTATTCATTTTGTTAATACTACAGTACCTTTACTTCCTTGTAGTTCTTTAATATCAGCATCGACTTGTTTTAAATCTTCCTCAAAATCTTCAGATCCACATAATTCAAACATAATTTCTTCAATTTCTTTTGTTCTGCTGTTCTTGTCCCGTAAATCTCTAGTCAACATGTCAAGCCTAGTGCTCAGCTTTGTGAGTTCTTGTCTGTTAATAATAAAGAGTAAGTCAATGATAAAGTAACAACAGTTAGATCTGAGTGCGCGTGTGGTATTATTCGAAGAATTTGCTAAAATCTCATCGCAGAATGATTCATTGAATAGTTGACAGCGATGGGCAGGAACAAGATAATTAACCATAATATTTACTACTCCAAATACATCTTGAAATATTATTTTGCGATATTGAAGTATATACTAAAATGGGTCATGTTCACCAGAAAAATTTATACATATCAATGTAAATTTGTAGAAATTAAGTTTGATGTGGTAACTTGGTAAGTTAACTACGGTAAGTAAGAAATTATTTGTCTGACAATCAGATGTAAACTGCTTAAAAAGACAAGTTTCAAATAAAATTATTCTAAAAATCCCCATATTCTTGAATCAAGAATCTACCTAATAGAATATAAACAATTCTTATAATGTGATTTTAGACATTGCTGAGAAAAATCTAAGAGGCTGAGCAATGAGCACTATATCAGGTGACAGAAACATATTATGGATACGTGTGTGAGCAATTGTTCGATGAGGTGAAATCTTCATAGTATGCTAATACATAAAATCACTGATACCAAGTATATGCAAAACATGACATTTTTTTATAGCTATTGTCAGATAAATCGGATAGTAAGTGAACCTACTTTTTTTTGTCTAGATCTTTTCGAAGCATTTTCTCTTCATCTGATTTTTTCGATATCCATCGACTCAGATTTTGTCGAGAGGGAAAAAGTTGTTCGTCAATATTTTTGTCAGATTGTAGAAGGTTTATAGATATCAAACTGTCTGAATTTCTGTACTTTATTTTCCTCATTTTATCTTCTCTATCTTTTTGTTGATTTTTCCATTCCTCTATTTTGGTCCTGGAAAAATATGAGAAATAATTCAATCCAAAACATTGTCACCAATCAATACCCTATGTCAGTGTCAACACCCGACCTCATAGCATCTATCACATATTATTCACTAACATATGATATGTAATATTTTCTCCAACTTTATTTGGACATGATTTTGATGCAAACTGAATTATATTCTTTAATTTGTTGAAGTATTATCATCATCGGAATACAAGTAAACTGAAGAAAGAGTAAATCAAAATGATAAATACTAAGTTGAACTTAATAGGAAAAAAATATAAGCATTCCGAATTTCTGAAATATCAAAACAAAAACTTTATACAGGATACGATTTTCATATTCATTCCCATGGGAGAGGAAAGCTGTTTAGATGATTTACTCATGTGAGTTATGGCGGCCTCTCGACTGGTTACCAGTCTATGTCATGTATGGGATAAGTTAGCCAGTTATTTGTTTCAGATGCATGGATTTGATGGTTTAAGTGCACCACCATATGGCAATGAGGAGTTCAGTAATAGACTTGCACATAATTATCCCCAAGAAGATTTGAACCTGCAAACCCACCTAACGTAATCAGAGGCACGATGGCAAGTGTATTCTTATTGCTTGACATGAGCCATATAATACTAAGTCTGTTAAAAAACCTATTATACTTTCACTGTAACCAAGTTTATCAACCAATTTACACTTATAACGGCCATCCGAACAAAACCAAATGATGATAAATTAAAACTGAACCTGCTTTTCTGATGTTCTCTCATATTCTCAATTTCTTCATCAATTTGCTTAAGATTGTGTTCGCGTTGAGATTTAATTTTTGATAAATTTTTGACTTCTTGTTTCAACTCATTCACATTGTATGATTCCTCAGCATTTTTCAATTCTTTCTCCTACATTAGTTAGAAAGCATTTAAAAAGTTACATTTCCATCAAAATCGTAGATATTATGAATGACGTAGGATGAGCTGCTCAACAGGCAAACAGACCGCCGCGGCTAACACTAAGCGAAGAACAAGTCTGATCTTCATTGGAAATAAATTTTAAATTTCTGTGATAATGTAGACAATTTAAAGATTAAATGAGTTTGCCTATTGGAGTAATTTATTGGTCATAATACGTACAAAACAGATTAAATTACTATTCCGAGTACATAAATTCCGAACTAACATTCCTACTATATCCTATATACACAAATTTGATACTTTAAATCCGTTATTGATACTATCTTAATTTTACATTGTTTCAGAGGTTATTATTAGTAAGAAGAACAAACTTGAATGATGCAGAAAATGATCATCTATATTTATCTATATAAAACATTTTGATGATGAAGAAAGCTTCGGAAGAAAGCAACAAACCGCATTTTCTAGTTGTTTTTGTAATTCTTCTAATCTATCCATATCAGATGACGATTGTAAGTTTGAAATTTCTCTTTTTATTTCTTCAATTTTTCTGCTTTTATCTTTGATCGATTGTTTTTTGTGTTTGACACCTTCCTCAATTTCAGTTTTCGAACCAAATACATTCTGAATTTCTTTGCTACAGGAGTCAATGTCTTCTTCAAGTCTTTTCTAAAAAATAAATAAATTGTTATGATTGTAATAAAATTCTTCATGTTTACTTGGGGAGCGGGAAAACCCAGTCAATGTAACCAATGATGTATCAGGGATGTCCAAAAAGGATCGAATATTTGAATCTATTCAAACTCAATTACATTCATTAGTTTATATTCTTTATTAATTTCATGAGAAAAATTATCATTTTAAGATGTGAAGTCTCATTTTATGACCAAAATTCTTTCATTTAATTTCTAAAAAATGTAAAAACAGTAATATATTGAATTCACTGGTTTAGTATTTGCAATAATATTACTCTAATTTCAACACAATCTCAGGTCTGAAAAAGTGGAGAGTTTTCCATGCCTTGAATTAAACCAAGAACTAATAACGGGATAATAATTATATTATCATATTTGTTAGGTTCTCTTTACAGTATAAAAAAATTTTAAAACTAAAAACGAAATGCTGGTTTATTTATAATCATAATGAAAATCAATATAGGTTTGAATTTTTGTAACTAGGCATAAAATAGTCGTTGAAACATCAACTTGAATTTTCAAAAACTAATAATTGTAAATTGTAATTGTAAACTAACTATCGATCACCATAGCAAGAATAAAGATGACTATTGAAGGGTCTTACTGCACACTAATAGAAATGCATTCCTGTAATATTTCGTTCGACAAAGGTCGTGGTTGAACTCTATTGCAACTAAGACGAGATAAGAGCTGTATATTTGTGCTGGTGTGCAGCACGAATCTTGAATGACATACTATATGCCATCATCACATTCATATTTATTCTAGATTGAGCCTTAAATGATTAAAGTGAGAAGACATGTGCTATGGATGTGAAATTCCAACCTGTTTGGCATTCATAGTTTCTTCATTTTTTCTTACAACTCTTTTCATTTCAGATTCAAATCTTGCAGCATCATCTTCTGATACTTCCTGACCAATATGAACCTGACCCTTGCATACATCATGTTCATCAGAAGTCTTAACAAGCAATTCTACTCTCTCTTCTTGCTTTGTTTGGAAGCTTTTATACTCTTGTTGCAATTCGCCTGCACAATGTAAGCTATGTAAAAACAATTTTTTTTTCCTCTCGCCCTCATTGAACTCTTGAGATTGAAGACTATGCTATGCTACATTTGCTATGACAAGTGCATACGACGGGTCAAGATTTGTAGGGCTGGCTTATATGCTTATAATTCATCGTTTTAGGGGGTTGACTTATATGGGAAGATATACAAACTCAAAATTAAAATTTTCAAGTTAAAATTATCCTAAATATTTTGAAATATTGTTATATGAAATATAACACAAAATTGAAATATTAAATATAATGAATTATGATTCGATTCATATATTCAATTCATTTTTTACATCCCTGACTAAAATCATTGATTAAAAAGTTTGAAAGAGTATACACGACAGAATGGGTATGTGGATTGTCCAGCTTGGCTTTCTAATACAAATCTAACAACACATACCTTGTCTCAAAATCAATTTGTTTTTTCTTTTTGTGAACGCATCAATTTCTTTTTTGATTGGTTCAATTTGATACTGACAATTATCTAATTTATTTCTCTTGTTTTGCAGAAGATCTTCCTGCCCTTGTATTAATTGAGTCAACTGGGCATCTGTTCCCTTAGAAAGTAAAGCACAAGTGAAATTCTTTTGCCTAAGAAAGCTAAACGGCAAGACTTGAAAATCTTAAAAAAGTGATAAAAAAAAAACAATTTGAAACGAAATAGAAATACACAAAGGGTATCCATAACATTTACTATTTAAAAAAAATATATTATAATTTATTGAGCCACACTTTATGGCGGACATCTATGGATACAAAATAATGAATATTTATTTCCATTTGATCAATTGCTTTGTCAACAATTCCCCTATAACTAAGAACAACAGAGCAATGGACACGAGGGCCAAAACAATCATTTTTACCCACAATTCCTCCACCATTATTTGGGACACAACTTAGTAACTGAACAATTTTTAAAAAACTCCCGACTTTGCTGACCGCCAGATTGAAGTGGTCAAAGTAATTGGTCCAGCAGGTGATAAAGGGGAAAGCAATTTTTTACAACCACTAGAAAAAGAATACTAAAAACAACAAAACAATTCATAAGTCTACTTCAAGTCTAACAATGATCCATACTTACATGAAATAGATTCTGAATTCTTTCTGCCAACATTTCTCGATCTTTCTTCAAATGATTCTGCCGGTCGCACGATTGCCGAAGTTTGATATCAAGCTGTGACAAGTGTGCATATATTTTCACAACATATTCATATCATTTTATGCCCTTGCACAAGCAACTATGCTACCTTAGTTGGCGAGACCCAGAGTCTTTCCAGTTTAGATATGGTGGACAATTTAGATGGGATTTGAATCCAAGAATTTAACTTGCGATGTCATCATAGACCAAGTTCATCAAGTCTAACGTTCTGAACCTGACCACTGGGACACAATAAATAATCAATTTGAGTAAATGGAACAAAATAATTTTATCGAAAGTAATGGTAATAACTTTATTTGCTTAGTCATAATGGGTTCAATATTCTTTACTCAAGACTAGACCATTTATCACTGTTTACTATAATTAAATAAAAATGGTCAGGGCCAATTTAAATAAAATAGATATGCAAGTGTTAGAGATTATTCAGAAAAAAGAAGTGAAAAATATCAATGAAAAGAATATTGTAACATTAATCCAAAAATAACATGCACAGACTCGGTACCAAGACGCGCAATTTAGATACACAAGTTGCATACAAAAACTGTTCCCCATTAATGTAAGGTTAGCATTGAGAAAATGAAAAATATAGAGATAAATATTAAAACCCTCCTATCCTTCTTGGAAGTTATGGGCTAACTAAAATTATAGAGCAAAACTATAGACAGTAAATACCTCCAAAATTTCGTTTTGAACTTCCCTTTTTTCCTTCAACTGATCACATATCGGTTTTAACTGATTTTCAAGCTGATTTGCACTTTCTTTAGCAGCAGACAACTTGAATTCTTCTTCCTGTCGTGATCAAAATAAAAAAAAATGTTGTTCTTGTTATGTTATATGAAAATATCCACAATGTGAGGCACCAGAGGCAATAGTTTGAGTTTGTTTAGCACAGGAACACAATTTCCTACCTACACTGAAATGATAACAGCTAAAAAAGTTACTAGGAACTACTGACTTTCTAAAAGTGGCATTCAAATATATTGTTCAGACAGCTACTCAGTAGATTCCGGGACACAGAACCCAAAGCATGTCATTTAACACTCACAAGAAAGAGCCTAATAGAAATCATTGTTAATAAAATTATTATGTAAATAAATTAGTCAAATAAGTTTTACACGTATCTGAACTTCAAGTTACGGTAATGTTCTACTATTTTCCTATCCCAAAACCATCAAATATATCATTAACTCTGAAATCCATACAAACAGGCTTGTAACATTCAAACATCACAATACAAACTCCACAAACAATGCCACATATAAATGAAGTGAAAATTTAGATACCTAGTATTTTTAATATAGATAAATACAAACACAATAGATTACAGCCATCGTTCAATAATATAAAAATGTTTGGATTAGCTCAAAAACCTTCAATTTCTGTCTCTTTTCTTTTGCTGTTTCCCGATATTCTTCAAGAAACGGCAGTCTGGGTTTTTCCTCTCTATACGATTTTTCTTTTGCTTTCTTAGTCATTTTAATTACATCAAGAGCCTTGATGTATCTTAAATAAATTAAAGATTGAGTTAGACTTACATTACCTGGAAAAAGAATCAAATCGTATATGATTTCAATCATTTTATAGTAAAGCTTAAAACTTAAACACATGTAAGTGTAATACAACTACACTCTACAAGTATATTTGAGATTAATTTGAAAAAAAATCTAAAAAATTCATGAATTTATCTCAATATAAAATTAATTTAGGACCGAATTTTTAGAATGAGAGAGAGAAAAGTGATAATAGGTTAAATCAGATGGAAAACCATGACCACTCTTCCTGTTACCAGTCCATGTTAGGTAACCAGTTATTTGTTTCAGATGCATGGACTTGATGGTGAAGGAACAGGCCAGTGGATATCTAAACCACTATGTTGGCAATGAGTCCAGTAATCATCTTGCTTAAAACTATGACAAATGAGATCCAATTCTGGGAACCGTTGAAGGGTAATCAGAGCCCAGAGGTGTGATAGCACAATGCATCAACTGTTGAGCCTTGTGCAAAAGGGTTTTTGATAAAACAACAAGTTCGGTATACCAAATAAATTCAAAAGAAGCCGATGACATAATCGATAGAAAGTCTATATTATGTTTCAGTAGGCAGAGATGAAGAGACACACAGAATAAATCTACCTTGTTGCAGCGAAAATCTCATCAAATTTATTCTTGAGCACTTTTCCTTCTGACAGAGGCCAATTTGAATCTTCTTGATGACAAAAAATGACATTATCCAAAACAGCTTTGGAAACACCGAGTGAATTGACCATTTCTATATTAATATCAGTGCACTTTGAAGTCGTTGAAACTTGTTCATCACCTCTGCAGAATAAAGAAAATAATTAGGGATGGGATATTGTTTATCCTGTAAGAGGTTGGCAAACCGAATCCTTCTAACTGAGTCATGTCCAGGTTAGATCCGAGTATGTAGGAGAATGACTAGTGAAAGCTGTAACCAACCAGAAAGCAGTTATATTAAGGTAGTCAGTCTACTACAACATTAGGTCTAGCAATCCTCTCAGACATAAATATTGTTTATGAAATACAGAGAAGATTCCTCTCTTTTATACAACACTTTTACGACTTCACTCTGGACAAGGCTGTATAACAAGCAGTCACTTATAATTACTAAAAAAATATTAACTTATTTATCAAATTCATACTTTGCCTTCGAAATAACAGAATCAAGTGTTTTCAATATAGCTTTATCTGCTTTCTGAGTGACTTGCAAACTTCTTTTGACTGAACATATTCTACCTTGAAGATCACTGAATTTTAATCCCACCTTTTAAAAATGAATGATACTTTATTAATGGGTGATCAATTATGAGGAAAAAAAACCTGAAACTATTCTAGGTTATAAACCATATAAAGTGAATAGAAGGGAGATAGTGGTCATAGAAGATACTTACAATTGATATTTTATCAGTCATTTTGTGATAAAGAGAATTCAAATTTTCAGAGTAAAAAGTTTCCCACAAGCCGTAACATTTCATCATTGGAGAATACACAAAGTCACGAACATACTTAATTTACATAAACTATATAAAGATGTCTTGATTATCATCTTTTTGTATCATACTTTCATATTATCTTAACTGATTCACCTGAGCTCTAACTTCAGATTCACCAACTAATTTAGGGTCATGAACGAATGCTCCTCCCTTTGTGTTTGCAGGTTGGTCTCCAGTTGTTGCATATTTTAGACATTCAATCACAGTCTGCAAACAAAAATATATATTCTTTGGTAAAATAAATGAATAACAGAAGAATTCATCGAAGTTGAGTTGGACTATCATTAATTGGATGAATAACAATGGATGAATAATTCATTTCCGTCAGACCGCCGTCGGGTGCGGACGTGGTATTACACGGTGGAGTACTGGAGTAAAAAATATTTGGACTAAAACTTGGAAAACCGGACAAACAGGATTGAATACAGACTACCTTTTATCTATGGAGCTGCTTTGATAAAAATTGCGTTGATCACTTGTAACAAGTGATTGAATCTAAGGGACTTCGAGGAAACAGAAATAATCGACTTAGTTGCCGACACTGGATTGGTCAGTAAATTCATGCGAGAGAAACAATTCATAGGAACAATCGATGTTCAACACAATAAGATGGAAGCTCCGGAATGTTGGACGTTGCAAAGAATAAAAACATTTACTCCAATTTCTACGAATTTGAACCAAAGCAACGCCCGAAACTAGTTTTCGTGTTTTTATGTTTGTTGTTTACTTTTTAGTTTTGTTTGTTTACAAAAAACAGCAGCTAATCAATTAATTGGTATTCGCATTTCGGCACAGGCACCATCACATAACTTCTAAATGTTTTTGTATTCTTCACGACTTTCACTCATCAAAATTATTTACAACATTACAAGTAAGCTTTGCCCGGGAAATTTATTTTCTCGTGATCATGTACTCTGTTCATTAATTTATTCTAGTATGATTGTCTTGGTGTGTTTCACGTGTGTGAATGTGGGTGAATGGGCACAATCGCTGGTTACAGCGTTCGTTATAAACCTTTCTAGGTTTTGCCCGTTTTCCCGATCTTTCAGTTGACCTTGTCTGTGTTCTTTTCATTTGTGTTGTAGACGAAAGATCGAAATAAAATTGTATTGTATTGTATTGTAACATGGAGCGTTATAATGTCTACAGCAGTACTTTATAACAAACAGTGTTAAGTATTAGTTTCGTTGACCGTGAGTTGCAGGCCAAGTCGATTAACAGGTCATCTGAGCGATGTTAGGTAGAAGTATCTAATGATGCTGTTTCCAGTCACAAACCATGTCTTATAATACTGCAGTAGATGTCATAAATAACGATGAAATGGATAAACATGAGTCGCATTGGCATACGACTTCCACCTTGTGTTAAAACAATGTTTTTTTGAACTATGAGTTAGTTAAACAATGACAACATTTACAGATTTACCTAAGCATCAACACAATTTATTCAAATGCTGCAACGAGCTTACAATATTTTCAATCCAACATAATTAATGTGGTATTAACTATAGAGCTCGACCGATATATCGGCCAACCCCGATATTGCCTGTTTGTCGATATATCATAACATACCGTAGTTATGCAAAATATCAGCAGTATAATAAATATCAAAATAAAACTACAGACTCACGAGATACATCATGAAATCCCATTTTGTGACGCACAATCTGATTTATATTAATATCGGCATATGGGTAACGGTTATCGGCCGCTATATCGATATCGGTACCAAAAAGTGATATCGGTCGAGCTCTAATTAACCATAATATTTTCCATTTTACAAACTTATTTCGAAATTTTCTCTTGAGTGTTATTAAGTCTATTTGGCAGCTGATTCATGAACGAATGCTCCTCTGTGTTTGCAGTTTTGTGTCAAGCACCATCATACAGTCATACTCACTCAGTCACTGCAGTATCTGTATGTATTACGGTGAGATATTACAGTATTTATGTAAGTTATACTTACGGTTTTACCAGCTCCATTCTGCCCGACAATCAGTGTTAGAGGATGTTGAAATTCAATAACTTGTCTATCTTCTTCCCGAACACCAAAGGAACGAATCCCAAGGATTGTCATCCTCTCAATCATAGACATTTTGTTTTATTGTAGCTTACAGTGTGCTATGACTGTATCAGAAAAGATTTAGAATTTTAGTATACCGTAGTTATAGGTTAATCCGTACAATTCAACAATAGCTGAACAGAGATGTCAGAATGACAACAGCAGAATATGTCTCACAAACGAGTCTTATTGTCTTAAAATGTCGAAAATGCAAAGGGGGTGTCTCACAAACGAGTCTTATTGTCTTAAAATGTCGAAAATGCAAAGGGGGGGGGGGTGACGTTTGGCGTTATTTACGGTAAGCACTTACAGCATTCATTAACATACCACATTCGTGTTTGGGGGGATTTTAGGTTTCGGCATTTGCTTCACGAGACCCCCAGACGTCTCGGGTCTCCTGATAGGAGTGGAAGTGGTGACTCCTCTTCGGCCCATGGGCCGGGGCCACGGCCCATCAAATTGAGCCTAGGCCCATCAGGCTATGGGCCTAGGCCCATCAAGTTGTGTAAAGTAACTATTCACTTGGCTAACACAGACAGTCCCCAAACTCATAATAGAACTATAATGTAAAAAATCTGAACAAAATTTTGCCCTAACCCTAACCTGGTACACATACTACAGGAGTTTATTTTTTGGTTCGAATATTGACAATTTTGTAGAAATTGAAAATTTTGGTAAGATAATTGAATTTTTTCTGACGGGGCCGCGGCCCATAGCTTGATGGGCCACGGCCCATGTGGCCCAATTAGATGGGCCGTGGCCCCGGCCCATGGGCCGTAGTGGAGTCACCACTCCTGTAGCCTGATAGAGGGGTGTCTGATCATCTGTAAAATGGGTTTTGCTCGATCTGTATAGTGTTTTGTAGCCTACCAGAGACTACCAGACAACAGTACTACTTATTCAGTAGCTAGTCTAAATTGAAGGCTAGCCTAACTTATGATTGATTCAACCTTACAGGTCAGGTTACATAGTACACTACTGACACTAAATAGTTCTTATGCCTACAAACATTATAAAAAGGTGTAAGATGATACTTGAGAAAAAAAATAATCAAAAATTCATTCCAACCGGGCCAATATTGAGGTCTGAATCGTCTACTCTAACCAACTCGAATCATTTCATCAATAAACACTGACAAACTGCAGAACTGACGCGTCATGGAAAATTCGTCTATTCAGCTACCGGTATTTGTTTTCAGAATGAAAGTTTCTGTGGTGCTTTAACTAGGTGGGCTAGTAGGTATGTATTTTTTTGTCTTGTAATTTATTTTTGTTTGTGTCCCAGTGGGCGGGCACATGATATTCATGTTTTAAACTTTTTTAAATTTGTGTATATTATGGAGTACCGATATTCGAATAAACTATCTAGCTCTAGCCTATCTGCATATGGCTGGGAATGAAACTCACAACTTACCTATGTTACTTCCCGTTCCCGCGCTCGAGACCTGTCTGTCAAGGACATTCATAACCTTTGACCGGTTGCGATTTGATGCAAAAAGAGGTGACAACTGACATTTCTTGCTTGGAACGCCAACGCGACTAGGTCTGACTTGCAATGTTTCTCATGAATACTGAAATGTCACGGTGTTTCGTAGCGGGACCTAAAAGATACTATTTGAAAAAAACAAAATGTATTCTGAGGCATTATGTCATTTGAGGGAAGGGATGGTTGCTTATGAATACAGGTGTCGGTGGTAGCAGCTCAAAAAGTATGCCGAAGTGAAGGATAGGATAGGATTTACATATTTATCCCGGGGGAGAGGAAAGTAGATAAGACGGCTTATCCATATGGCGAATCCAATTTACTTCTGCAAATGTTATAAGGTAAGATTGGTTATAGCTGTGATCATTGAGTTATGTTGTAAAAGTATATCACATTTTTTCAGATGTTCGCGATTTGAATACCGATAATAACAGCAGAACCCCTCCATGATCGAGCTCATACAACAGTCATCATAGTTGCTGTATAATTGTACATGGATAATGGGGTTGAAATACGAACCACCTTTTTTAAAAAGACTTGTATCTGAATGCTGGGAATTTCTCATTCCCATTTATAAGAAGTTTCATTTGATTGAAATAGCAAGCACATCACTAATGAACACCATAAGCGGAAGATCTGTATCTGATTTCTGGGAACCTCTCAGTCCCACTTATGTAGGCCTATGTATGCGTTGCGTAAAGTCAATGTAAAAGAGTTAGTAATTATCAATACTGAAGACGGGATATGTAATTTAGACCAGTGGTTCCCAAACTTTTTCGACCATCGCCCCCCTACAGTAGTTTATACAACTTCATCGCCCCCCAGCACTGCAAAAAATGTGAAGTCAGAAACGAATATATTACAGACCAAATAGGAAGACAAATCATACTTTATAGTGTTTTTAATGAGATGGATAAGCTTGGTTTTCTTCAGCGAGTTTTATTTATTATTAGCTGACATTTTCGTCGGACACAATCTTAAATCACCCCGTTTACTGATGGAAAGGCGATTTCGTTATTTTGATAGCAATAGTAGCACGGCTGAAAACCCTTTTTTTTTATCATATAAGAGGTCGGAAATGAAAGAATACAGGGTTCTACCTCCTCAAAAACCGCCGTGTACCTACCTTATTGCATTTACTCTCCCGAATTCACCCCATTTCACATTAAAATGATGAAAACAAAATTAATTTTCCCAAACTTTTGATAATGATTTTTGTACATCTCATTCATCCCTACAGCCTGATGACCTGCACCAAAATACATGATATATAACGATCTTCGGTAAAATTCACCCTCGATTCCTCATCCTACCATGGCCTCCAGTCCGATCACCAGTTCATAGAATTAATCAGCCATTTGTTTTAGATTCGTGGACTCGGATATGAAAAAAGCCGTGACCGACTATCGGCTACGGCCCAGGGGTTGGCAAACTTTATGTGGCTCGCTGGACAAAATTGAGGGTCGCTAGTCTTTTGCGGGACGCATATATTTTCTGAAAGTTAAAAACGAAACAGCGCGCGAAAACTGCGACAATTCATGAACTCAACTCAGTCGTCCTATTGAAAAATTATTACAATGACATTTGATGTGACACTGTCTTATTGCTGCATCACGCTTAATAGCTTTGCGACGCCAAGGAACAGTTTCTAAATGGGCATCACTAATCCTAGTTCTTTGCTTGTTTTTTGTAATGTTCATTTTCGAAAATAATTGTTCGAACAAATATGTACTTCCAAACATCGAAGTGAATACCTTCGCATGGTTGTGAAATTTTGAAATAGATTTTCCTTAAGAAGATACTTTCTTACAAACATTAAGCAGTGATGAATCTCTCGAATAGAATATGAATTTTATTTCCTAATTGCATTGCAATATATTTGAATATTTACTGCGATATTGAATCCCTGCACTCTGCATCAACTTTTCTGAGTGTTGCCATTTGTCTAATTATAATTGAATTGTAGGCTCGTTAAACGAGTAGCAGCTGTTCACTAAATTGTTAGGATATAATATAATTTAGTCTAAACGTGTCTCACGATAAGTTCTGTTACGTAAAAAAATGTAATTTGCTACTCGAGCGTAGATTATAAATAAAATTGATTCATCTAAAAAACGTCGTTTTGTCTGTATATTAGATGTTTACCCAGGCATAGACTTCCTTGTTTACTTCGTGACATTGGCCAATCAGCAAGATGCAAAAATAAACGTTACAATGCCCTCTTCACATCCGCTCAGACGCTTTTCACGCTCAGACTGATTTTCAGGCGTGGTCTTAAAGTAAACATTACCTCAATTTCTCGATTTTTAAATTATATTCGTTTGTTTTTAGTTGTTTTTTGGAAATTTACCTAAAAATCAGATCAAAAAACAGTGAATCCCACCACTGCGTATAACCCCTGAAACAGTCTGTAGATAAAAAAAAAAAAAAAAAGACAAGACGTTGCAAGAAATGAACAGATCAGTTGCATTGTTATGTCATAAACGATGTAAGAGCGAATAGATGAATAATGGTACACAGCGATGCAAACCATGCGTCCTAGATTAGGAGTTATAAAAATTACCATGCTGACCCGGAAATTAACAATTTGAATATGCGCGATCGCAGCTCTGACTGCCCAAGTGATTGTTAGATTAATTTAAGGCCGGTTTTATCAATTTTTGTTACTAATCTTGGCATTTTTTAATTCATTCGGTGGGTCACGAATAATACGCGGTGGGTCACCTTCTGACCCGCGGGTCAGTGGTTCGCCATCTCTGTCATATAGTAATACCATTCAATTTCCCAAATTTATACACCATTTTATTGACCATTTCTAGATTTTCTCACCACGCAGTAAAGTTTTTACACTACGAAGCTAATCATATATATATATATCGAAATTTTTTTATCACTGCTTCCCATATTCTCAATTAAACTAAGATACGGATTATCTTGATGTAGGATTTTTGATGAATTTGTTTTACACGTGCCCATATATGATTACATTTTCAAGCACGATTGCATGTCATTTTGATAAATTGGAAAAACAACAATAATGAAAATTATAGGGAAATATTGAAGTATGTTGAATCACCTATTTGGTTCACGAACATCTCCGATAAAACACATATATTTTAGTTCCAGTCATCCACACATAAAAGTTTTGTTCGACAAAATATATTTTTATTAAAACAGTGGTTCGTGTGAATTTCAGCAGAATTCAGACGTTCGGATCTGAACGTCCGACCGTTGGTTGGCCCCATTAAAATATTTTTTAACTTCACTATTGCAAAATTTTGAATGCCTATTTTGCAACTTGAAAATAACATGATCTCTTTCAACGAAATAGTAAGTATATTTGTGAGCTTTCGTTAGATCATGGTCTAACTTCTTCAAACAATACAAGATATAACTGTAAAAATAAAAGATCATATAAATTTAGTCTATTATTGAGTTTCCTATAACTGGATATGGATGCTATCGTATCATCTTAGAATAGCCGGTCTAACTGATGTGTTCTTTATCTTTCGTTTTTTGCCTCTAGTGAAACGACGATTTTTTTCTGGGTTGCTGTTCACTGTTGTCCTTAATTTGAGTTTGTTTTGTCTTAGATTTCATCTTTTTTGTTCTCGTCTTTGCAAGTTTCTCTTTTAGTTTGGAAATCGTACTTTTCACTTTAATACTATCTCGTTCAAGCATCCTTGTAGTGAGTGCCACCAATGACATTAAACAACATGATGCGCAACTCCGGCATTTTTGTCCGAAGATCGTATTCGATAGCACGCTCCAATGCACATACTTGACGAGACGAAAACGAGCGGATGTGTGCTGCTTTCAAGGCGTAGCACGAATGGTGTTCGTGCCTGCTTTGACAGTTGTTGTCGATTTTAATGATATTTTTGAAAGTTGGGGTAAAAAGAAATCGGTAAAAGGTAAGGTGAATACTATTGTTGTATATCACACCCGGGCATCGCACTGTTAAGTACATGTGGGAAAGCCAGCCTTTGTCAAATACTACGAAGTTATTAATTCAGTACGGTACGTAGTTGCCCATTTGCCGAAATTACATATTTACTTACACCTTATGGTTTCAAATAGTTCATGCACCTCCAGTTAGATTTTTTTAATCAGTGAGGATATATACTCATAGTTGATTGCTGCTCATTGTAACATACTATTGCGCATTCACTTTTATTTGCGTATTGAATCAAAGTGTTAACAAGTTCACCTAACATTTCACTCATACCGGTCTATATTGTACAGTCTGATTTCTCAAGTATTTGGAGCCACGAATGCTTGTAATTTTCTGACTAAACCCTTTTATTAGTTGGTTTATATACCAAATTCAGTAAAATATTTTTTACATAAAACATGAGATATTGGATTTATTAGCTTTTCCATTCTAAATCATATAGACTGCTTTATTTATTCTTAACGAAAATTAATAAATCTCCTCTCTTTCTTCAGATGTGAAAGTTGTGGACAAACCTGTCTAAGCATTGTGAGACTCTTGTAGTACAAGAGGCAATAGCAGAAATAGTAAGTATATCAATCAAGAAATTGAGCCGACATAAAGCAAAACTTTCAACTATTCGTCTAATCTCAATTTCCTATTATTTATTCACAGGACAACTATAGCGGACGGGGAGATATCAGAAGTCTGGCGACATATCAGTGACAGTGTGATTCCAAGAAATATAATGTTTGCAATAGAAAAACAACCTATGGAGGCATGCAAAGACATTTGACCCTCCGTAGAGTTGTGTATGGCCCCCACATCCTGCAGGGCTTGAGGAAAATAACTAAAAATTCCAAAGCGTAAGATTGCATAAGCGGTCTTATTTGTAAAAAGGCACAAAACACGCCAGACATACTTAAAACAGCTTTGGAAATGAGGATTACGGGTACCTCACTGCACCTGTGTTATATTTGGTTCATCAACTTTTGGTAGTACTATAGAAGAAATTCCGGAAGGGGTATAATCATCATTCATGATAAAATACTATCATATATTTTTTGAACAACTTCAATCTAGACCAGGGATCTCAAACTCGCGGCCCAGAGAACTTCCAGTGCGGCCCTCGAACGCTTAACAATGATTGTAATAGTATTTTGGAAGTTTTTTTTTATCTAAATGTAATAGATTTTTCAAACCTTCTAAAGTGAAATTGATTTATTCACACAGAAAAACAATTTACTGAAAGTAGTTTTGGAATATTAATTTTTTTTGTCCACCATTTTGGCCCAATTAAGAATACACATCAAGCTAGCAAAAGAATACTTGAATAAAACACTTGAGTAATTAAATTAACGCAAAGTACACGAAGAAGGTGGCATTTTTCGAAGAAAATTGGAGTTGTAACATTTCTGCTCTTCACAAAATTCTGAAGCACATTGTTTAATTTGTCATATTTCCATCAATACAATCAAAAAACACAATAAGCTCAGCAGTCAATATGACAAATTCGAAGACCAACTTCGAACAGAAAATTTCCATGTGTTTGTATATTAATATAATTATACAACGACTTAGTTACTAAAATCAATATCAATAATAATTCAAGCAATCCTATGCCACGCAATGTAGTGCGAAATGTCTTGTCGAAAAAATCTGTCATTTGTTTTTTACTGATCTAATACATGAAATGATAAAAGTAACTTTTTTGCATTACTGGAATTAATTAAACATTCGTAAAGATCCAGATAAACCCATGATCATGTGGCCTCGTTAGTTAGAGTTGGTACTATAAAATCATTTCAGACTGGCCTTAGTATGCTGGTGACACAAAAAAGATGCCAAACGCCAGGACAAATGTAATTATTAAAACATTGAGTTTATACTGTAGTATTTTTGTTAATTTTAGGTTCATATATTTAGATTAAGTTATTTTTAGTGTATGTATTATTCTTTCCCTAATCAAAGCTTGTTCAAAAATGATTTTGATGGTTGTACATAGAATTTTACGATTTTTTATAATAAATACTGTAACTTGCAAATGTTGCAATAATAGTGGAATGCAAATATTAATATGTAATTGCATTTGAAATTGAAGAAAATAATAAAACTTAATCCAACTGTTTAGTTGCATCACAATATATGTCACAAACTAAAACTATCTTAAAAATATCTTTTAAGTATACATTATCAAAAACTCTTTGCGGCTCTTTTTACAATTTTCAAAATGCAATGCGCCTCTCGAAAACCCATGAGTTTGACACCACTGATCTATTCTAGACGATTCAAGCATTGCTTTGGGAAATTATCACTTCAATTAAATTGAAATAATCTCGCTATATTAAATACAAAATCGTTGCTATCATAAAGGTAAACCAATTCAGCCACTCGAAAATATTGGCCTTCACAAAGCAATGGAGGCAAAATTGAGAGTTCATGAGCTATGAACATTTGTTCTTTTCTTTGTCTTGAACTTTTCCATACTCCACAGCCCCTATTAATTTTTTTAATTTTAATTACCATGTGATGGTCATACATATCTTTAACTTGTATTTTCTTTCATGATGTATTATCTCAATGTGCCAAACTATTAATTAGTGTGCATATTTTGCTCCAGATGACATAAATGTATTGTCATGTTATTACCTCAGATTGGAGTATTGACAAGAAAAAGGTGCCAGTAAATTAGGTAAAAAAATTTTCAACTCATTGTTATAATCAGAATTCACAATCAATAGGAATTATAAAACGGCCAACAATCAGTGAGAATTATATGCGAAATCCTCAGAATAATTTGTCTAAAATCGGAGGAAGGCAAAAAATATAGGTAGTTTCCATCCACACAAGCATTTCAAGAAGACTTGCTCGAGCCAAACTAAATGAGCATCGTCAGGTGATCGGTAAGGCTGCAAGTTGAATTCAGCCCTGCAACCTCCTGCATAGAAGATAATATTAATTAGTGGGCCATGAGCTAAAATTCCTAAATTTAAACAAACCTATCTACGATGCATTATGTACCAGCAATGTTACCTACGATTAACTGAATATGTATTACGTCTAATAATTCACCTACAAAAGCAAGTTCGATAGGTGCAAACTTTGTGTTATGGAATTGTATCGCAGCACAGTTTTTTGTATGACACCCTCTTTAATGAAATTTCAATGATTTAAGCGCAAACATTAAAATTACAAACTTTACTTGTATTATTGCAAATGTTCCACACAAATCTTTCCGCTATCCGCGTTTGTAATCTTCTCTGATAAAAAAAACGTCTATGATGTTCCGAATTGCTCTTTACAGCTTGCCCTGTTATTCCAGCTTTCCAAGTAAGCAAAACTTCTTAGATATAGAGATTATTTTGTTTCGTTACAGGCGCAAAAAGGCAGGTACTACACGTAAAAAAGACGCCGAGTAGCAAAAGCGAGCGGAAAACGGACGCGAAAGGCGACGAGAAATATGTGCATTGGAGCGTATCATGAAATATAATGTTTCGCCTGTAGTCTTATGGAGTGACGTCAGAGTTGCCTATCATGTTGTTTAATGTCATTGGTGCCACATACGGATCCGAAGTAGAAAGTAATCAGGGAGAAAGGACCTGCAGTTCAATACACAATATCCAAGTTCCCCTAGTATTTTGCAACTGTTATCTACTGGTACTGTCAGCTAATTTTTGGCACAGTCTATCTCTCTATCGCATCTTTTCCGAGACTAATTTTTGATTACTCCAACTAAGCTAAGCTCATCGGAAGACATTATGACAATTAAATTAATTTATTGACAGCTAATTTTTTTAAACAAAAGTCACATGTGACAATTAACACGCAAACCAAAACGAGGCAATGTTTACAACCATGCTTGACTATCTGTCTGAGCCAACGAAGCGTTTGAGCGGATGCCAAATTGCCATTGTTACGTCATCGTTTACGTTTTTGCTGATTGGTCATTATTACAGAAAAAATAAACAATGAAATCGATGCTCGCCGAGACATACATACATGCGGAATGCTTTCAGAACAATGTTTAGTAATACCTAGTAAGCTTCGAGGGCGTGTTTTTTGTTTCTAAGAGAAAAAGATAAGTTATTTTATATGTCATATTATTGTTTTATCTGTATAATGAAGTCATGTGATATTGTTTCTATATTTGGTATTTTGGCGTTGGGGACACTGGGGGCGCTGTGACACTGTCGATCTGCTATTTGGGTGTGGCCTGTTGGCTTGTGCTGTGGGTTGTCAGGGTGCAGTTGTCTGAGTGTGGTTGTTTTCGGTTGAATTTTGGTGTTTTGTGTCTGTGGGAGTGCCTCTGGTCTCCGGTGGGTTATCGGAAATGTTTGTTTGTGGTTTTGCGACTGTTGCATTGGGATTTGTTGGATTTTTGTGCTGGACAGTGGGCTGATGTTGGGATCATGTTGATGTGTGAGCGCAGTGCCATCGCAGTTTATGTAGTGTTATGTTTTTGGTTGTTGTCATAGATTAGCTTTCATCAGTACTTGTGCCAATATAGAATTGTTTTATAGTCTTTTAAAATGCCAGTCATAAGTTATTTTCAGCCTATTTGGCAAATTGTAAGCAGCTAGTTTGGTGTACCGGATTCTAGGGGACATTTGCCTTTTATTAAAATTGTCTTTGATTTCAGGGCCGTCAGTGTTTTTATTGTGTATATGGTTTTCCTTGCATTAAGCTGCCTGGTATTGTTATTGGACACGTAGTGGACATAACGATCGTTTTGTTGTTCTTGTTCATGACTCGTTTCGAAGGAATCGATTTTCTCTTTGATTACTGGACCAATTGCTTTGAAATTATCAGTGGTTAAAAATAGAATTTTTTTCTCCAGAATGCTATTACCTTTATTTATTTCAAAATTTTCTGTGGACTTCCTTTTTTTTGTGCGAATTGGTGATCACAATGAAAAATAGCGGCACCTTGTGCGATTGCAGCGAAGAAGCAAACGTGTTCTTGCTCGCTAAGAGTTGTTGTGAACTGCGCGGTATGTTAGTCGTTGGCGATACCCGTACCTGGTGTTATAATACAGTAGTGTTTCGGATCGCTGGTGTTACTGCAGTTGCAAGTCGGATCATCTTGCAACTTCAATTGAAGCTGGCACAAGACAGGAACTAGTGAAGATAGGACAGTTTCGGTACCGTAACACAGCACGGTGACTTACTATTGCAAAAAATTAGAGTTTTATATACTAACGTATTAGTTTAATTTGATAATAGAAAATAAATTGAGTTTGTATATGCCAAAGAAAAACCATTCCACGATCGAATACCGGTCCCAGGTTTACGGGTACGGTATGTTACTGGGGAGTTGAGGCACCTGTACTCATCTTTTTGTTACAGTTTTGCCGTGAATAACGAAATTATGCTAAGGAAGAAGCATTACAACTTCTCCGATAATTTTTAACATGTGACTTAGAAAAGTGCCAAAGCATATCAACTTCATTTACATGTTTACTCTTACTGCGTTTGCAGTAAAATTAACTTCCATTTTATTTGTACGCTCGCACAGATGCTATGTTTATGCTCATTTTTTTGCTTTTTTTCATTACAGTTCTGCGGTAAACAACATCAATATGCCAATGAAGAAGCATTACAATAGTGTTCAACATGTTATGAAATATGGTGGTCGCAGTTTTATCAATGCGAAAAATATTCTGGTTTAACAGCGTGATGCAATTATTGTAAATAGCTTTCGTGTCCATGTATTCGAGCATTGCTCTCTTGTGTTGTTGTTCTTTGACACGTTTTCAGACACCTAGTGGAAAACCTACATGATCGCTTTTCTCTTTGATTACGAGACCAATTGCTCTGAAATTTTCAGTGGTTACAGATAAAAAATTTCTCCAGAAGGTTATTACTGTTACTTATTTTAAATATTTCTGTTAGCTCTGAGAAGTAAACTCTCTCTCTATTCGTTTAAAATACTGACTTCTGGACTTGGCTAATTTTATACATATGTGAATGATATCAAAACTTGTCATTTATTTCGTTCCATCCATGTATTTTCAACTGTAATAAAAATAAAACATACTTACGCCTCACTACTGTTATTTGTAGCTTATTATTGTTAGCTAATTACTTTTGAGGTGGGGAGCAAGACTTCACAAATTCTAAAAAGGAAGTGCGGCTTGAAAAGTTTACCAATATGGCGGTAACTAATTTTGCGCCACTTTATATCAAGTTGTGTAAATGGACTAAATTCTATCGGTAGCAGCAGACATGAAATATTTTTACATCACAGTGAAAAAAAAACTAAAATACAATTTAGCAATCGATGAAATGTGGTAGACTTTTTTGCCCTCAGTTCAACTCAGGGAAAACATGAAAATTCAGCATGACATGCCTTATAAATTTTACATTTGAGCAATAGCAGGCAATTTTCATGCCATTGTGTTTTAAGGAACTCATGTAGTGAAAGCAATAGGTTATTGTTGAAAATACATGGATGGAACAAAAATAATAAAATAAATGAGTTTTGATATGTAAATATCCAAAATAAGAAGGCAATACCAAATCTAACAAATACTTCAAATTAACTTCACGCCTCACTGATTTAGAGCATGAGTTGTCAAATTTTTAGCGTTATGGAGCTTGTGAAGACATTGACTATTATTTACGGTACCCCACAAATTTGACAAACATATTAATAAAGTATTGTTGAAATGTGTTGATACATATAATATAAATAAGTCCATATTCCATTTTGCATCCATGATCCAGTATTTATTTGTTCAATTCCAGTAGTAATCCATACCATAATTAGGTTATTTTAATAAAAACATTGATACAAAACGTATATGAAAAAAACAAAATTAGTAAATATAAAATACATATGATAAACATATAATTTTCTTTTTGAAATAATCCTTTACAAAAAATTTTCAATTCCCTTCAAAGGATTGTTTATTCTATAATTCTCTATATTTTTTATACATATTATGGCCATTTTTATCTGCTTTTTGAAGTGTTTTATTTTCGAATATAATAGAATTTCTCATGGTCCAAATTTTATATCTCACTATTGATTACAAAAGTATAATTGCATCCAAATTAACAGTATCTATAGGACTATATAAAGGATCGTTAAAATTGAATAATATGCAAGTATCATAATTGATAACAAAATGTATTCTTCTAATTAACTTTAGTATTCCTAAAACAAAATCTTCATAACTTTTTTGTGTAAATTTATTGTGTAAGACATGAAAATATGTGAAACAAACTTAATCGGCTTATATTACACAAATTTTAATAAATTGGACTAGGTCTTATTTTCAGGGAAACGCGGTAGTAAGCAGTCGCAATAACACAACTTGAAGAACTGTACCGGTACAGCTGTATGACCGGTGCCGGACTTCAGTGCTACCAGGTACTGGTACTCAGACATCCTATCTAATGTAGTCAGCATAGCATATATAGTACGGTACCGTACTTTATACCTTCAAATAAGATATTACGACATACCCGATACAATACACTCCAGGTTAACATTGGCACTCAATGAGAGGTGCAGTTCTTACCACTTCGTGGCAGTTTCTGCCACGAACAAACCGCGGCAGCTCTTGCCATGGTTTTATAGCTATATTCAGTACTCAGTATTAAAGGTATATTCACAAATTATGAAATTAATGTACCCAATCATCTAATTATTATGTTCACAGATTGCCATTGTATTTTAGAGAAGTAATGCTTTCATCTTGTCGTAATTCGACGCAACCGCGAATTATCATGAATACGATTAAGTTAAAATAGGAATACATCTTAAATTCTCGTCGTTAAAATTCTGTTGTGTTCGGTTTTATTGCCTGTTTACACAGAGTATATGGTTGCAATAAACGCACCTTGAGTCCGCAAAGGGTTTCGCCGGTGAGAAAATAGTTCACGACCAAAAAAGGTTGGGAAACGCTGCCCTAAAGTGAGGTAAAAATAGTGCCTAGCAGCAGCCGTCACGCTGGGATGATTCGTATGAAAATTGGTAATTGCAAAATTTTCAGGGCTATTTTAAGAGTGCTTTTGCGAGTTGTAGTAGTAATAGTATTTTATTTCGTCAACAATGTCAAATGACAAATAGTATACATACAACATTTCAAAATTATTTTCAAGGCATTGTGACGAGGATGTGACGAAGCGACCGTTAGGTCATCGATCAGTCACAACTCACAACCTTTAAAAAAATATAAAATTACCATTTTGTCAACGAAATTGAGCTGAAGTAACACACACTGAAAATAAATTAACACTAGGGCTGGGCAAAATATTCGAATAACGAATAGAATATCAAATTATTCGAATGGCATTTTACTATTCGAATATCGGGTACCACGTGATCTGCGCCGCTTCACTTGGACACAGAACGTCTCTGAACCGAACGTGAATTGCGCGAGAATTCACCTGCAACGCTCGTTAACAGACAAAAGGACAAATTTGAAAAATCGTCTTTGCGTTGTGGTGTTATTTGTTTTCTTTGCGTTTCGATCGTTCATTTCAATTCCCTATGTTGCACAAAGAGGTACCGACACCGTTCTCTAAATTTAGAAACGATAATCAGATGAGGTATTTAAAATAAATATTCCGGATTTTAAACTCCGTATGATTGGCGGCACGTGATTAGTCGTTTCATGCATGAACCAAACATAAATTTGTTTAACGAAAATTGAAAGTTGAATTAATTTTTGCGTGAAACCATACATAGTATAACACGAACAAGCTATGACCCGAAGAGAAATGGCAGGACATAGTTCTTTTAATGTACTTTCAAATAATTCTTTAGTGATCCCTTTCATTCTTGACCAAATAATGTTTCGAAAGTGTAAACATTTCACTCGGGCATGCATGGCGGGTGGAGTGTAGAAATCGTGAACAGGAGTATGGCGTAAAATCAATCATGAATTTCGATGTAACAACGCGCACTGTCTCGTTTACGAATTGTTGTATCGTCGGAAATGATTACATTCGTTATATTTTGAGCATTTTTGCACTAATAAATAGGGCGTGACATTATCAAAATTGTCAAAAGAAGTAAAAGTGAATTCGCAAATTCCGTAAATAAAATTGTGAATTACTTGGTAACGATATTATCTATAATGATCGCGCGGTTTGTTGAAAGAAAACGTCGGAACTTGGAAGAGTTGGTTATAATTAGCGCCTGGCCATCTATTAGGCACAAAAGTACAAAAGCGCAATTTTTTCAGCATTAGGTCGCATATGTAAATTATTATTCAAGAAGCGCTGTTTATTAACGTCATCTCGTCATATGGCCACGCAGAAATTCCTTTATTGTCGAATTATTTAGTCACTATTTTAAATCAACATTCGGGATTGACGCAATCGCAGCTTTGCGAGGTTTATCTGTAAAGTAACATAGACACCATAAAAAAACATTGCAAAGTTAATTACGGTATTGTCTTAATAAATATCATATCTACATCCCGGTATCGATAATAATATTACCGTTCGCTTAATATTGTGACGGTAAATTTACAAACGTTGATAAGTAATATGAAAGCCAACGCAAATGATAAAAATTAGAATAATATTAATTTGGGTTTTTACATCAATCCTAAATGGTTTTAACAGCTGTTGCCGACGTGAACGCACGGGTAAACGGTAATATAAACGTCGATGTCCGCCGACCCGAAAGAATTAATACTTGCAAATAACAGAAAGGGCGGTATTATAAATTACATATCGCCGCAAAAACGATCACGGTGACAAAAACAATCAGCGATAATGACGAAATAAACCAGTAAAAAAACGCTTTGTAGCCGATTTTTCAATGTCTTTATTAATTTCCAAAGGGAGTATCGACCGACGTTGTAGACCTGCTGTTGTGTATAAAAAAATATTCGTTATTCGTTAAAAATATTCGAACTATTCGATTCGAAAAAAATATTCGATTTTGCCCACCCCTAATTAACACACAAGAAAAACAAAAAGTAAACAAAACTCAATTGAATAAGTTAAAACCATACTATGTCGGATGACATATGCACAGTATAATTCATGCCTAGTCCAACTCTAGAAGGGAATAATGGTCTTTTACAGTTAAGGTTCTATAGTAGAGTCGTATATTTCACGAAAATAGGACTCCAAATTCGCTGATAATGCCAGTTCTATAAATATCATCGATTTCGACATTTGAAATCGTTGATATGATTCTGACAGGAAATGAACTAACAATAAACTCCCTTATAATGGCTTAGTATTAGTTTACCATGTACTTTCAGTCATACATTCCATCCCTGGCCCTGTGATTTTATTGAAAAATATGATATGACTGCACCATACTTGGAGTAGGTATAGAGAAATGTTAAACATGAAAAAAAGTGAGTTGGTGCCTGTAAAATGGGATATGTGTTTCAAACCATCAGTATGATACATCGCATACAACAATCTGTTTTTTAAAAGTACCGGTAAAGAATTTTAGCATAGTCTATCACAGCTATTTCTACACTAATTTTTTATTACTGCAATTAAATTAAAACTCCTAGGAAGACAGAGTAATCATTGAATTATCTGATTTATATTGAGGTTTCCGAAACACAACTGAAAACTAACGAATAGAGTTCAAAAACGCGAAAACGATGTAATGTTTACGACCACGCTTGAAAATCTGTCTGAGCGAGAAAAGTGTCTGAGTGGACGCAAAAAGGGATCGACGCAAAAAGGGAGCATTGTTACGTTGCTTTTTGCATCTTGCTGATTGGCAAATGTCACGAAGTAAACGAGGAGATCGATGCTTGGTGAAAGGTCCATTACATAGACTGCCTGTACGCTACATCATGTTTCCTGTATCGTAACTGTGGGTAGTTATAAAATGGCTATGTCCCATATGTCCGCTATGTCCTTACTAAAATGGCTATGTCCGCTATGTCCCTACTAAAATGGCTATGTCCCATCTAAAATTGCGTCTCCGATATTTTCCTACTGAAATGACTATGTCCGCTATGTCCCTACTAAAATGACTATGTCCGCTATGTCCCTACTGAAATGGCTATGTCCGCTATATCCTATTAAAATGGCTATGTCCGCTATGTCCC